CAAGTGAAATACAAGTTATGAATCAAGAACATCAGTGAAGTGTGTTCTCTGTATGGAACACCTCTACAAGGAATGGTTTCAGCCAGTCAGAAAGTGTTCCACTCTGTTTTACCAGGCCCATAGCCGGGGGGGGGGGGGTTTACAGGGTACAGGCAAACCCCCCCCCCCCCTGGCCAAAAATTCTTTCAAAATCATGCTGTGTTTCACCATTTTGAGCACTTCTCAAGTGATTTTAGCCTTATTTTGCCCAAAATTGTCAAATGTGAATCCCTGGCCATGGAAATTTTTGAAAACTGACCCCCCCCCCCCCTTGGCAAATCAAATCCTGTACAAGAGATTGTCCAGGAATGAGAAACTATTTCACATTTCCTGAAAACTGTGTTGAGATAGACAAGCATTTTGATTAATCAGTATCTCTTTATACAACACTTATGAGTGCTCTGCTCTGCCATTTGAAAAAAGAGCCAGAATATTTGCAAAGAATTGGCTTATCAAGGTGATCTCCCAAGCATTGTAGCAAGTGGAATCTTTACATCCTTGACAATTTGAGCATAGTTTACACCTATTGAAACTTGAGTACTCATTGCAATCATTTGCACTCATTTGAAATTATTGAAAATTTGGCAAATTTTAACCAACTTCAGTCAGAATTTTGAAATGAAAATTTTGCAGCTACCTTTAGTAAATCCTGTAGTCCCTTGTAAACCCTAATTACACCACCTCCAAGTGAAGTCCTGCACCCCTTGATATATTGAAAATAAGCTTAATAGACTTAACCAATTATTAATTGTACTCACTTGAAAATATTGAAAAATTTAGTCAACTTTAGTCAGAGTTTTGAAATGAAAATCTTACACCAACTTTCATCCAGAAAAAATCCTTTAGCCAATCTTTATGAATCCTGAATATACCTCACTTCTAAGAGAAGCAGAAGCAGGTAGGGTGGTCCAGAAACCCCATGCAGAAACTCTATTCTTCATGAGAATGCTGCAATCAATTCTGGGAAACATACCAATTTACATACAACCAGAACATATTTTTACCAGAAACAACTCAGCCCAGAATTATTAGACATTCTTATAAAAGCAAACATTTTTTTCAATCTTTACACGCTTTGGAATACAGACTACCAGATCTTTATTTTTGAATAACCAAAACTTCAGCCTACCTCCATCTATTTCACCTCAATACTCCTATTCGCGATAAGAGTTCAGGTGATAATTTACATATATTTCTCCCATGATGCATCGCTTTGGCCCCTGTGTAATCCAACGGGAAAGAACCTGGATGTAGACGAAGTTGTGCCATACATGAGAGCTCTTAAAACGGGAGGTAACTAAACTGAACTAAACTAAACGTTATCGCGTATTGGAGTATTAAAACAGGATGCAAATGTTGCAAAGAGTGTACGAGTTTTAGTCTTGCATTGGGTCTCTCAGTCTCTGTCCCCGTACCTGTATCTATTTGTTTATGATCTTTTTTATTGTAGTGACTCCAGTATGAATGAAATATCCCTTGGTGTTCTGGTCTTGGATTGTTATATTGGTTCTTGAATGGGAGGGGGAAGGAGGTATTAGACATTGTTTCTTTTCATGTTAGATCATGGTTTTGGGATATATGGGATTTTCTTATGACTGATATATGTACACTTGCTTGCTTCCATTACAACTTTTGGTTCTTTCCTATCACTTGTGTTTAGTTATTTATTAAAAGATGAAGTGAGGTGTGGGGGAGGATCACAAGAGAGTCCAATCCTGCATATAAACTCGAAAAAACATTAGGACTTTGTCATTCTTGTAACTTATCTGCCTTATAAATAAGCTCACATTTTAGAAATACTATTCCAGGTTTGTATTCAGCACTTGTATGTTCAACAATTTCCATTCAGAATCTTAATTTAAAAAAGAAACAGCTTGTATCTCCCAAGATTTAATAGTCCAAACTAAACATAAATAAGATGACCATTCTCATGAGAAAAGTGAAAACTTCCAAGTTTATATCCTAAGGGTTTAATAATTAAGAAATATAGCTGATATTTTGGTGATATTTTCAACTTGAAACAGCTGCATTAACAAACAATTCACAATGATTTGAGGTGTTGATAACTCTAAGAGTTATTTTATAGTGATCTACTACTACTTAAATAAGCAATTTAGATGGTCATGTCTGTTTTACGCTTGTTCTCTCTAAAATTTGAATGAAGTGTCCGGTTTTCTTGCATTTCTATACAATTTAGAGTATTGACTACATCCCTGTTTACTTTATTCCTTGCTGATTCCACTCTTTTGTACTCCAATTTCAATTTTAAAACATGATCACTTGGTATTTTATCACAGGTTTTATAATGATCTAGTAGTTCACAAGTTTCTCAATGGCCCTCCCGGATATAATAGTCATGTTTAGATGTAAATAGGAGTGGAATGGAATGGAATAAGTAAGAAAAACAGACATGCGTATTGTATAATATTATATATTCTGAATTGTATTGAAATGCCTGAAAATTTTATTTTCCTTTCAGCATTTTAGAGACAAATTGTTCATAAGCAGGGTGGTTTTTTTATGTGTAGATGCTCTGATTCCTATGTTTCTTTGATATTTGAGACATTCTTAAGAGTTTTTTCTGGAAATCTATAATCCAAGTTTTTAATGAGTTTTTTAATGAGTTTTGTCTCCTTAATATATTTTAAGCATCATGATGTGTCATTTAAATAGTAGAACCTGTCAATTCTAACATCAGTGGACCAGCCAAAAGTGTTCAGAACAGTGTTCACATTTCAAGGGTTCTTTAACAAGGGAGTCAATAGAAGATTACAATAGTAGGCTGAAAGGAAGTGTTCATATTCCGAGATATGTTTAGATTTCTGTATTTATATTATATTATTTGCTTTCTCATGTTGCACAATTTCTCTGAATGAAATGCATATTATGACATATGTGTTTAAAGAGGAGTTTCATTCAAAAGCTTGTATATTTATTCCTGGCTAATTCCACTCTTTTCCATTCTATTTCATATTTTTAAACACAACCATCATGACATGGCTTCTTTGTAATTCCTAGGAATGAACTTAGAACCAGATGCATAAATAGGAGTAGAGTTCCAACACAATGTATGAAAATACTCTTATCTCATCTAACAAGAATCAAACACAACCCTGGCAAATTTTAACATTTATGTTTTGAAACACGGAAAATAGCAAAAAGGAGTGGAAATAGTCAGGAATTGATTGAATGGTATGGAAATGAGACCCTAAAGTGTATATTAGTGAGATAAAATCGGGAGGTTTATTCAAATTTTAGAGAGAAATTGCATGATTAAAGGTAAGCAGACGGACAATGTCGCACAGGTAAACCTAAAACCATACTATGTTCGGAACAAGGACTTACCTAGTTAGTTCCTTTCCCATAGTACAGAGGTACCAATCTTTGATTTATTCATGAAACTATAAGTGAAATATCCAAAACTTTAAGATATATATTTCTTTTTACATCCGTATTCATGCTTCTGAAATAGTTTCTAAAGTAGCGCCATCTAAGTGTTAGGGTTAGAAACATTTTAGCCATGACTGACATTAGATTGACAGTCTCTCTGTATAAACACATTAGAATTGATACCAGTTATTTTTACAAGTTTCACAAAGAGAGTACATACTTTAAAAACATTCCACTTAGGGTGTTACTACATATGTCTATCTGTTGGACATCTGTATTGGAAATAAAAAGATTTGATTGTATGCCTAAAGTGTTCGTCTGCAGACGTTACTTCCGTCTATTTCTCTCTAAAATTTGAATGAAGTGTCTGATTTGGGGGGATTTCTATATATTTTAGAGTGTTCACTACACGCCTGTTTACTTTATTTCTTGTTATTTGCATTCTTTTTTCTTTAATTTGTATTTTTAAACGTGATGCCATTATTTTATTTTTGGGCATTACTAAATTCTATCTGTAAGTTGACTACATCATGCATGCAACAGATTTTGACCCTGCTATAAAACATCTATTCTATTCTTTTTATTACACCCTTTTCCCTAAAATGTTTTTGAAAAGGCATGCAAAATTATTAAAAATATGTCACTGTAAAAAATAAGCATTTCCCCATTAATATTATTTCACATAATTTTCTCTGAATTTTTCATGTTTTCACAGAAGTCCATTTAAATATGTGTTGATATTTTATTCCAGGGTTTTAAACAACATTATCTATTCACCAGATTTCAGTAATTCTCTAACAAAACATCCTCTCCATCTGTCTCTTGGTGTAAAGTCAAATAAAAATAAAATATCAATAGCATATTATAGTATGGTTATGTTTTATAAACTAAAAAGATCTAAAAGAGCAAGGAATATAGTGGGGGTAGGGTGGGGGAGGGGTACTTCTATAGCAAGCCTTATACCTGCCATTTCACCCCACCTCAATTTTTATCATATATTTATAAATTATTAGTCATCATTTCTTGGCATGGAAATCTCACACTGATTATTATTAGTTTTTAGGCATGCTGGGTAAATTTTTAGTTTGCCATATTTTTCACCATATGCATTGTTATATCAAAAGCAAAGCTTTATAGACAACTCTTGTCAAGACTTGAAACTCTCATAGATATATTTTCAGAAAATTTCACAATGTTTCTTGCTCTGGTCATTTTTTTCATTTGAGATAGTTCTCATTTTGAATGTATTTTCTTCATTTTATGAAGCAGTTCTGATTGCAATTTTGATTCAGATTTTAGATTTTAAAGCTTTATTATGTTCTCCATATACAAAGCATTACATCCCTAAACTACCATATACTCTAGTCAGTGGGACATCTCAAAAAGATAAAAAAAGAGGTTACATATTTTTACGCATATAGTACTCATTCTTAAAAATGCCAATTCTTGCTCAAGAATATGTTAATTATTCAATTTTAAAGAATTTAATGAATTTTTTATAGTAAAAGCGATGTTACCATCTTGATACATGATACATATATACTCCAGCTATATAAAACATTTCTTTTCTTTTTTTTAAAGTTCACACACTTACTAAAAATAATTTTTCACAGAAAGAATTTCTGCACTATGGCAATTATTCTGTGTGAACATTTGATCCACCCCACCTGTCAGCAAAAATAGCATGGTGGTCTGATTTTTAAACTTGACATAAAATATGAAAGAGAGGAATCAGCAAGGAATAGAGTAGCTAGTTATATAGTTCATTCTCCAAACTGTTACAAAATCCAAGAAAAACTGGTATTTCTTTCAAAATTATAGGGAGAAATGCCATTTTTGGCAGGTGAGATATTTGAGATTCTGGGAAATATCTCCAGGTATTTTGATTCCCAGTTGATTCCTTACTTATCTTTCATAGTTGTGATAATCCAAGCGAGGTGCTATCCCACAATCCTTAACCTTATCATATGACCATTTTCATCCAATGAGGTGTTCCAGATTGAGGAAGAATCATGGGATTGATTCATCCTCTCTGGGATTATCTCTGATGAATGTTTCAATTCAGTGAAGTTAATGAAATGAAAACAGAGATGTTTCCAACAGATGTATAAACAAGATTATTGCCAACATTTTCATATTTTCTATGAAACTTAGAACTCCATTTTAAATTTGCCAGAGTTTATCTTTATCTTATCTTGGAGAGAGCCAGCAACTTCTCTCAGAAAATGTTGATAGTGTTATGCTTAATGTTGCTGAATATCTTTAATGCATTTGTTTGGTCAGTTTGCTATATAGGTACCAACCCCTTTACCCCCTGATGATTTGTACAAATACATAGCCTGAGCAGTCTTTATATAATTATAATATCTGGGACACACAACTTATTGATCCTTCCCGACGAATAGATGGTATTTTAAAAACAAGAGCTACCACTGACAGTAAAAGTCAACCCCCCCCCTTCTTTATAGTCTATATAATAACCTTATAGCTAATAAAGAGAGGTTGACTTCTACCCGTGGGCGCTACATGAAACTAAAGTATGTGATGGGCATGTAGGTTCCACAGCCTGTACTATATCTTGAAGAGAGGAAATCTCTTAAAGCCCAGTATACACTTATGGGGCAAAATCCCACTTGCCCCATCAAGTCCCATCTTGCCCTATAGAATCCCAACTTGCCCCATCAAATCCCATTGAGTCCCATGGGACCTCAATGACTTTGCCCCATCGAGTCCCAAAGTGCCCCATCAAGCCCCATGGAGTCCCATCAAATCCCACTGTACCCCATTGGTGAATGTTAGTCTTCACACAACACGTCATATGATAGAAAATACCCATGGATTGCCCTATGGAAAGAATGAACATGTACATTCTCGATGGCTCTTGATGGGACTACTTGGGATTTTGCCCCCAAAATCCAAGGAAATCCCATAGAGTCCCAAAGACTCCATCTGGCAAAATCATATGAAGTCCCATGAGGTCCCACGCAATGTCAAGTCTATGGAGGTCCCAATTTGCCCCATTGGTGTATTTGGGCTTAAGTAGTACAAGAAAAGAGTTGCTTTAAATGAGTAACCATTACCAAATGTCAATGGGACAAGCTACATTTTGTCCATTTTACTATTTCACTATATATAATTTTTTTTTTTTTTAACTTTCTTCTGGCATTGTACAGTCTCTAGTCTTTGTCACTCTAATATGGAGTGGACCATGCTTCAGAACCAGTAACCAGTGGTAACAATTATGCCCACACGTATCGATGTTTCCACTATTTGTTTTGTCATACCAGTTTTTTTATTTCCATTTTCTGTCTCACCCATTGCCTTTTCCTCACCACTCTTCTGTTGTTCCTCATTTATATTGTCATCCAGAAAGTGGGTTAGTTTTTCTTCTTCGGATGTATTGGTTGACTTTTTTTCCAGGTAGTCAGGTTGGTCCTGGTCAAGTTGGATGAAATGGTCACCAGATAGTGTTTTATAAACGAAATAAATACGATGGCCATATTTAACACCAAACTTGAAACTAGATTTGATGAAGTCCTTTATCTCTTCTTTTTTGTTTTTCTTTATGTATAATAAGAACTCTCCTGGGCGCTTGGATTTGTTTACATAGTCCACAATTTCTTTATCCTTGTAGTTGTCCATATTCATATATCCAACAGACTCTTTCGAATTCTCTTTGGGATTTTCTTTGTGTTTGTTCCAAAAATCTTTCCGATATCTGCTCACATATTTGACAGACTCTATAAAGTCTTTCATTTCTAAGTATTTCTTCCAGAAATGCTTGTTGTGTTTGTTCATATATTTTATGAACTCAGCTTTCCTCGCAAACTCTTCTTTTCGTATGTTCATGTAATCTACAAACATGTTCCTGCCATACTCTTTGAACTTAAGTTTGTTGTAATGTTTTATAATTGTTTGCTTCCCAAATTCTTTCTCACTTGTTTTCTGTATATACTCTTTCATCCCTAACATCTTCCTCCCAAAATCTCCCTTCCATATTTTCACATATTCTACAGCGCGCCTCAATCCAAAGTTTCTCTTAAAATCTTTCCTTTGTTGACTTACAAGTTCCTTGCATTCATTCTTCCTAAATCCATCCTTTCGTTCTCTCTTCCCGCTATATCTTCCAGTATTTCTACCTCTCCATCTTTTTTGCTGGCTTTGCATGGATACGACCTTCACCCATTTACTTTCATCAAGAATGTTCGTCCTACCGGAATTGTCATTGAAGTAGATGTTCCTTTTAATGAGTTGTGTTAATGTCTGTGGAATCCTTCTATACGGATATAGTAGTGGAGATAACATTGTTAATGTTTTAAGTTAATACGCTTGCAATAATGTCTCTTGAGCGTTTTGAATATTTCCTCATACAGTGTACAACACAGTTTAATATAATATTAGTCACTAGCTGTGATCTTAAATTTATGCTATTGCTATAGCTAGTCGCAAATGTTGAGTAGAGGTGTGTCGCTATAAGTCAGAATAAATTGAAATAAATCAAATCTTGAATAAAGCTCTTATCGCAAGAGGACACTTACTTTGTTTGACTTAGCAATTGTTATCATTGTGTACTTAACACACTGTGATATGGCTCCCTTTTCAGCGTTTTCAATAGGGACTATGAAAAGTGAGTCCTGGGGACCCAGTGTTATAAAAATTTGGGGTCCCTCCCAAAAAAAGTGGGTCCCAATTGAAAAAAAGAGAAACACTAAACATGTATTCTTTATGTTGCTTTATCATGTTTTTATTGCATGTATTTAGACCCTGGGGTCAGATTGTACAAGTGTAAATGATGAATAAGTAACGTTTATACACAAGGCGTTACAGAATGTCACATCCAAGGCCATTTGAAAGTCTTTGCACTCATTTCGGCTGGTGAAAATGTTCCTCTTTCCAGCCCTGATGCATAAACTGCACCGCATTCCTTGGCCTGCAACATACTGCAGCCAGGGGTATGTGTTTTCCCATTCTGGGAGGTACCTCTTAACTTTAGGAGGGCGTGGCATGATAATACCCTTTACCTCGTGACTTTATGATTCAATTAATAATACTCAGATTCTATCCTAAAATTAAAAATTATTTGCAAAAACATTAATTATATAGACCCAATTGACCCAATTCATGCAAGCGAAGCGAACTCTAAAGACATGAAAGAGGGGCCTGAGCCTCCCCACAGAAATTTTCTATATTTATACCTTCAAAATTGAGCAATCTAAGCATTTCCAGGAAGTCTTTCAACAGCTTGCCTTGATGCATTTCTAAATTTCAATTTTAATATTCTCACATTTTGTATATCCTAAATAATCATCATATTTAATCCCATGTCAAATTCTAAACCCCAGTCAATGCAATTCAATGTAATCACAGCTGTATATCTGAATATAGATGGCACGTGTGTAGACTGATTTCTAAAAGCAAAAAACTAACTATAAAATCCAAAAGATGGCAGTGTTTATATCACTTCTCACATTGAAATCTTTTGCAAAGCCGGCCACATTTTGACCAAAATGTACCGGTTTTATCATATTGTTTCAGCAAAATAAGTATTATTAAGGTAAGTTATACTATATTTTTTAAGTTTAAGTTGTATAAGCTTGATTTATTGGGTTAAACTTGGAGAAAATGCCGTTTGACCTAAAATAAATTACTTTCTATTTTTTTCATTCGACAATTTTATTTCTGATATGTTTTCGCCAATTAAGGACGTTTTTCATATAAAATAACATTTGTTTGCAACCTATAGTGAGTAATGCGTCCCAAGAACGCACCAACAATTTTTTTCTGCGTCCATGACTATTTATTTACGTCCTCATAATGGGAGGACGGCGTTGTTAAAAACCCAGCTTTTGAAAATAAAACATGCAAATTATAAAGATCATTCAGTAATTGATAATCAAAAGTACTCAATTAGAGTATCAGTCCTTAACCATTTCATAATCTGTTAAAATATAACTTTGATAATCTTAAAATATATACATTTCGTTGTTTTGTACCGTCGCCTATATGTACTATTCAAGATAACTATTTAAAATGCTATTAAGCTCTGATATAGTAAACAGTACATGTACATGAGCGAATAAAGTTCATTCAACCTAAGTAAAGATGCTAGACTTTTTTAGGCAAGAACAAAGTATTGAATTCACTGGGCCCTTCCCAGTCAGAATTAACAGTACCAATACACGTCTTAAGGATTTTGTGAACTTTATCGCCCATAAAGTGAACATTAGGAGTATATTCACACCTGATCAATTGGACAGACACACAAAGTATATTGAAAAGAAGGTGAATGAAATCTGTATGAATATCAGTAAAAAACGAAAAGAAATTAAGATTAAGGAAATCAGAAGACGAGGGAGCTATTATGATGAGTCAAAGATTCTTTTCCCAGATGAATACGACTTTTTACCTATTTTGACATTGACTGGATGCCAAATGGTTGAAGTAGAAAGTTTATCAGATGATCAAAAGATATGTGCAAAACAAGGATATCGAAAAATTAAGGTCAACGAGCCTGATATCTTAAGGCATTCACCAGGATGTATCAAAGAAATCGGAATAGGAAAAGCACGATTAACCAGCAAGTTTATTCAAGAACTTAAAACATCTGTCAGAGATGCTCTGGATGAAATTGAAGATGTTAAATTCATCGGAGAGAAAGATCATGAAAAAAATTCTAATTCCTCAGACCCCTTGAACACTGTTAGCATTCATCGTAACTTGCATGGGCCAAGCATTTGGATCAGAATTGGTGGACCATTATGTATGACTGATATTGACTTGTGCTTTTGTATAGAGGGACAGGAGTCAAACTTAGGACCATGTGTACTGGTAAAGAGCAAATTAGATCACTGCCCATATTGTAAGAGTGAGAATGACCATTGGATTGAAACACCCATTAATCCCCCTGAGCAATATATGCTGACTCCGGACCATCAGAAACTTCTCCTAACTTTGAAATATATCTCACATTTTGAAAAGAAGATGTTCAAACGAGAACTTTTAAGTACATCTTCATCGTACTACCTCAAGGCGCTTCTCGTGGATCACCAAAAGAATTGCCAGTCAGAAAATGTAGGGGAGTGTTTTGATGCTGTTACCAAATATACCTTTCGTTTAGATAATGATACTAGCGATTCATTGTCTAATGATATCCACGTTCGATGTGAATCACGCTTCGTACCTGACATTTTTCACCAAAAGGAGGTAAAATGTGGGACCTCATATTTTCATATCGTCCTGTTGTGGTTTCTGAGAAGGATAAAGGAGTATGATGATACCACCTGGTGGCCACAATTAGACCAGGCTCTACCTAATAGTTATTCCATTTGGGAAAATGAGACATTGCCCGCAATGAAAATGGCGCATGCCAATATTCCAGATACATCGATGTCTACATTAGCAGTTGATATTGCTATCAAACTTAATATTTCTAATCTGGTATTACTGATTCTTGGTGCATCTAACCTTGAAAATGATTCTTTATCAAGAATGTTAATGATAGCTTTATGTATCTGGTTTATGTGCACCCAACTTAAACATCTCTCTCATAGTCTTGACCATCAGCCTAGAAAATACTTCTTGACCCATCTGGTAGCAGTTGTCCTTGTGGGATTCATAGCATATCTAGTGTATTTTGAAATTGTGACAGAATCTCAATTGTACATGTTTTCTGTTGCATTGGTAGCAGTGATTTTTGTCATGTGTATCAGGGCTGTTATATACCTATTGATTTTGATGACATTTGGATATAGCCCTAAATATGAAAATGTTGAGATTGATAATCTTAAACTAATTGATTCAATAAGATATGATAGACCTATAGTCTGGAAGCATGAAATCAAAAAAGAAAAAAATATAAACATTATTTTGGAAACATATACATATTTTAATTATTGTGTTTATGAACAATTATTTTGTTCTTCAGGATGTTCTTTAATATCATTTTAAACTCTAAATGGGGGTGAGCTTAGAAGACAGAAGTCAACACACATTCCAAGTAATATCCAAATAATTGAATTTCATATCAAGGACATGTTTGAAAAATATGTTATCACCCAGTTGAGACAAGGAAAATGACTAGAAATAGGAATGATTTGACCGTAGATGTTTTCACTCTGGTTAATCACTCAGTTGGTTAAAAACTATAATAATTTATACTTTTAATTCTTTGATGATATGCCAATAGGTCTTTCAGAAAAGTGAAATGAATGTGACTATTTCGAACACGTCAATATAAATATCAGGATTTGTCATATGTCAAGGAGTTCTCAGTTTCTTATAGATTAAGTGACTTTTGGTTAATAAGTAATTAAAGCATCATCACATTTCAGATATTTTTAGATTTCTATCTAACATAAAGTGTCAACTACTTGCTTTCTTTTTCAGAACTCCTTTTCTTAATTTCAATCAATTTTATGTTAAAACTTGACTAAAATGAAATTTTATTAGCAGGGAACAGTAAATTAAAACACGTGTATGCATGCTAATAATTGTAGTAATTGAATTATTATATGAAGTGCAGAACTAAGAATTATGAGTCATTCAATTACATTTATCATAAAGATTTTCTTAATTAATTCTGATAGAACTGAAGTCTTGAATCAAGAGTCAATACAAATGGTTAAGTGCTACTCCCTCTTCCTTTGTCTTTAGTGGAATACTGTGATGTTGATCTTCATGGACGTAAATTTTAGGAAAATGCTTCCATTGATAAGATTTGCCTCTTAGTCTATTCCCATTCCCCCCATAACTCATCTTTTTACGGCACTTTTCAACTGTTAAGGTTTTTGGCATGCTAGGTAAATTACTTGGTGGCCATTTTGATTTTGTGATAAAAGTGCAATATTTATCACTGTTTGTCTTTTATATCAACTAGCAGGTAGAGTATCAGACACTAAAATACACATTGCATTATCATAAATCATGATCCTTTGAGATAATGTGCCAGGCACTACATGTATTAGCTCAGTCTAAAACATAAATATTTCTGAAGAGCAATTCAAATACATTGACATCTTCAATCATATCCGAATATCACCATTACTTATCAAACATTTTACAGTAAAACCTATAAAGTGGAATAAACTCTGTTTGTAGAACACCTCCAAAGTGTAATATTATTTTCAGATATTAAAGGTGTTCTACTGACACATATTTTATTGTACTTCTTTTTTTTTTATTGTACTTTCTGTACTCTCCTCTGCTTTTCTCTCTTGCTTCACTCTAAATCATAATGTATTATGGCATTTCATAGTTAAAAAGATTTACCAAATTCTTGTTTACTTTATTCCTTGCTAAGTTCACTCTTTCCCACTTTGTTATAAATGTAAAAACATGACAGTGAACAAAAGGGTTGTGCTGATTAATTAGGCACTTCATAACAAATGAAGACTTTGATAGATGGATCTTTAACTATTATCTTAATTAGATTTTAATTGTTCTTACCTATGTTATCTTTAATTGCTGCCACTTTGACCCTCTCAAGCTCTAGTGTTACATGCGGAGGGATATGGGCAAGTTGTTTGGACTTTTTTCTCAGTAAACAAGCAATACGGCACTACTTTATTTGTTTCAGCGACAGTTAAATCTGTCTCATCCAGATGCCACTGGGACTGGACTAGTCTAGCTCCAAGACTCTGTGACACCACCCCCCCTCTACTAGACTAAACACCTTCTCACACAGACTTGTGGGGAGGTGTTCAGGTGAGGGAAAACAAGGGCTTGTAGCTAGACTAGGACTGAACAAGTGTTCAGATTGGCAGGTGCTCACAATTTGAGGCTTTTAAACATGGTCAACATTTGGCAGATCAAAAATGTGACAAAAAAGGTTTCAAACTGAAAGGTGTTCAGATAAGAGAGGTGTTGGAATATACAAGTTTTACTTTGATGGGATGTGTAACATGGTAGAAGATGATAGTGTGAATTATTTAGGAATATTAGACAAAGAGGATATGTATGAGAAGGACAATGGCACTTTGGTATAATAAAGAACCAAGCATTATTATTACCACCTTGCCGGGCCAGTTCTAGGGGTTTTAGTGCTAGTTTAGAAGGCGTTTATTTTACTATATCGACCTGAGAAATGTGTGACGTCATAGTGGTGGTCCATATGGACCGGTCTAGAATATATTCTGGACCGGCAATTTTCCCCGGGAAATTAGATATCGTTCAATGCGTAAGATTTTCTTGCTGTTTCAGTCCTGGTCGTTAACGGTGGTAATAATACTAATAACGTCATTTCTGCGAGCGATATAGTGAAATATTGGACCTTGGGCCGACTTGGTCCAATATTTCACTATATCGCCCTTAGAAATGACGTTATTGTACTATTGATGCTACAAGTCTTTTACCTTATATTTTGTGCAAATCAGAAAGGAGATTTTCGCATCTTACTCATTGGTCTCATGAGTATCTGAGATAATGTAAGATGCTTTATAAAAAAGTATGTTATTGCATGATTGCGTTGTCTTAGAGAATCTGTCATTTTCTAAAATTATCCCTGGACATACTTATTCCACTCCATTTCTCTGTAAAATTTGAATGAAGTGTCTGATTTTCTTTCATTTCTATACAATTTAGAGTATTAACTACACAGCTGATCACTTTATTCCTTGCTTATTTCATTCTTTTCCACTCTATTTTACATTTTAAAACATGACCATTATGACAATTTTTATGGGACATGGAGATAATTGACGTTTACTTCTGTCTTTCTAAAGAACGATTATAGATAATTTAATAACGCTATATTCCCAATGATGACTCACTGGATAAGTGATTTTGATTGGCCCTCGGGCATCCCGAGACATCTAGGCATTAATATTGTCCATTTCCTTCTTTTTTGAGGAAAGCTTTTTTGGTTTCCTTGTTCTATACTTAGCTTATTCATTATTGATATGTGATGAATAAAAAGCATAAGAAATATTTTTTAATTAAGTACAAATTATAAAAATCGAGATATAGGCTCTGAGTTCATCGTTTTTTCTCTAAAATCTGCAAGGAGACATAATTCAAAGAGCTAATAACCTGTAATTGAACATTAAAGTTATAATTTTGCAAGAATTTGTTCAATCCGATGAGGTTTGAAATTGCTGTAATCAACAAAATGTTAGATGCCCTAATAATCATCTTTTCAGTCTTCAATGCAGATATTAATTAAATAATGGAACATGATTTTCACAATGATATTAGAGATTGCCTTTAATCCCCTATTTCAATGAAAGTTGAAGTGACCAAATGTTTGGTACTTAACTACATAGTAGTAACGTCTCATAAGTCTTGCATCAACTCTGGCTACTCCATTTTCTGACCATATCAGGAAGGATATGTTAGGATAACACAGAGGCCTGATGTATGACTACAGGAGTGATATATTGGTATTCACTGTAATTAAAAATAGTATGGGATAACATGTTTTTATCACACTTTCTCTAATTCATTTTCACCTTCCAGCGTGTGCATTTCTGTTTTAAAAACGAAAAAGACTAATATGGACTAATAAAATGAAAGAATATTCAGAATATCCAGTATTTTTAAAGTGTGAGGCGATTTAAGTTAAAAATCAACTTTCTTGAACTTTTGTGAATATGCCATGGCGTTTCATGCGTATATGATGCAACGCCATTGATTGCAAATTCTTTTTAACTGCTATGAGAAAAAAGTTAAAACTTAACCTGAAATGCAATGTTTTCTGGGTTGATCTGTAAAGTACCATACATTATCAAGTAAATATTGCTCACCTTAAATTCCGGGAAATAACAAAAAATGACATCATCCTATTCATAAACGTACTTACAGTTCTGTAACTCTTTGTTTTAAACATTTTGAAATAAAACTGTTCTACACGCTTGTCACAGTTCCTGATAAATGCCTCATTAGCAAAGTGCCCTAACCCTTAATGACCAACAAAAAACACCTCATTAATACCCCATTTGTTATAATTACACATGTCTGTAGGTCGGTAATAGGACTTTTTGTTAAATTGAAAAAACACAAATTATGGTTAGCAGTAAATAAAATTTCACAATTGGCATGATCTTTGGTGTGAAATAAAGTGAAAATGAGTGGAGTTTGGGAGGAATTGAATATTCTTGTATGTAGGTACTGCCCAGAAGTGTATAGCAATATGAGAAAAGTTGATATTTTATATGGAATTAAAGAGAAATAATGTGAAAATGTGTGAAAATAGAGAAGTTTTAAGCAAGGGACTGTGATTGTGCCAGATCAGGTGTATTAGTTTAAGTTTCATATTATCATTAATCATAGCTAGAAACAGAAGAAAAATATTTGAACTTTACTAAATCTGGTGATGTATACTGATAAGAAGAAGAGAAGGAGGATGGAGAAAATTTTCTCCTCTGGGATATCTTTAACCATAAGTTTCTCTCTGGGGTGAGGTTATTAAATGTAATAATTCTTTGGTAATGTTTCATGTCTCCATTTTAAAACTTGAGTCATATTCAAGTTTCTATGTAAAATAATTCTTGTTTAATAATGCTCATGCCACTGTTATGGCAAACTTTGAAGTTAACTGAGTGGTCAAAGGAGACCAAGAGTCACTCATGGGAGATCATTGGACACAGATCATTTGACTCCTGAAGGAGAAACAAGGACAAGAATATTTATTCCTTTTTAGTTTCATCCAAAAAATCTTTTAAAATATTTAATTATTCTCAGAAGATACACAAGTGCATTGACAATATATTTTTCAATTACTAAATTAAATCATATCGCTGTCATTATTTCATGTTAATTCCTCTTGTCATAGTGTTTAATAAGCAGAAACATGGATATTAGTTGCAGGATGGATATACATGCAAAAAGATATATTGGTCATCAAGGCTCTCGCCACATTGAAATCTTTGAGCTGCAGCAACTCCATAACACAAAAATTCTTCCTCGATATGTCCAGCGCTCCCTAAAATCTCTATAAAAACATAAAAATCCTCAAAATGTACAACATAATTACAAAATCCTAAGATGTTGTTTTAAAAGAGAGCAAAGAAACTCCATATAAAAACATCCGGAGGAAAGGACTGGGTCATGTATGTCTTTAAATTTGTTTCTCATTTTTTCAACTACTGCTGTAGAGTTTTGTTTCATGTGACCAATTCATGTAAATATATATTGGTTACCCCCCTATCACACCAAACTAGTTCTTACCCGTTCTTGCCAGTCCTACGAAAATGTCGTAAAACGGGCTCGATCTGGCTGCGGTCGGGATATACATGTATGTCTAAAATAATTAGCTACTTCGTTCATAAACAGTCTTCAATACGTCCATCATGTTCGCAGTTCATTCAGGTCGCACCACGTCCGTGTGCAACGTAGTATAAACCGTCCCTTAGTCTAGAAGGTCATCATGACCTGATTACAGAACGGTATGGTCGCCATCGAATTTTGAATCGATTCAAAATTCTAAATCACATACCCCGTCCGGGAAAGTCCATGAAGTTCGTAAACAGAACGTAGAATGTTGTAGCTACGTTCATTCAGTTCGACACAGTTTAAAACCGATTCGGCAACGTTTTGATGATCACCAGAAAATGTTGAGCATGCTCTAAGTGCTGGAGGACCTACTCGTTCTAGTAGTTTCATGAAGTTTGTAAACAGATCCCAAACGGTTCTTAGTGGGTTCTTAGTACGTCAAATCCGTTCGTGCACAGTTTAAGCCCGTTTTCGAGAACGTAGTGAGAACTAGTTTGGTGTGATAGTAGGGTAACTTTGATATTTTTTATACTTCGTTCCATGTAAAGATGGCGTATTCATCAAAAGGAAAATTAATGATTCATCGAGATGGTTTCAAATAAATGAAGTGAATTATGAGATATCTTATTATGAACTAACAGGTATATTATGGCGAATGAGTCTATGTATGTAATTTAATTTGATGTTTTATTTATTAACTGTACTTTTAGGTATAGAATAGATGGCGAGCTATTCTGTGTCTGCAACAGATATGCCCTTGTCTATATCCTACCCATATTTGCTTATCACCAAATCACATCCCCCGGTTATTTTATGTATTTAATTTTGCTGTGATACAAGTATATTACAGGTATAGAGGGTGAGATATTCTATATCCAGAGTAAGATCATCAACAAATATTTATGCACTTTTTCCTACCTATACTTCCTTACCATCAAATCACATCTTTTAGTTATTTTAAAATTTTCATTTTGCTGTATTTCTAGGTATAGATGGTGAACTATTCTATGTCCGTAACGGGATCATCAACAAATATGCACTTGGCTTTAACGTGCTCATCCCCTCACATATGCCTAGCATCAATTTCACATGGCAGAGTCTCAAACAGTCCCCATCTGCCGTAAGTAGATTTTTAGAAACTTGCTATTTAAGCTACAACCTTATGAAAAATTTCATTTTCACATAATGAAGTTATGTATTTTTGATAAACTGCTGAAATCATCATATTTAAAAGGTCACTTTCCAAGTGTCAGAAAAGATAGGGTTTAAAGGTTTAACTTTTTGAATATGATGATAATCAGCTAAATATTAATTGTTAAACACAACCTTTCTAGCTTATTATATATATTCTCAGCAAGAATCAATAAGACATCTTTGAATTAGGGTAAAAATTACCCTCTACCCTCCTACGTACCATGCAAATGCTACCTTATTTGGACACCCCTCGTATTTACCATATCATTATTTCTGTTCTAGATGTATTACAAGATGGCCTTCAAGGTATCAAATCCTAAGGCCATGGCTCCACCAGTGCCAAGCCCACTTGATAAAGATGGGATCGTCCCAAATACACCTTCAAGTAAGTACTTAAATGAATTTAGGGGGATGGTAGAAATCTTTTTATTAGTTTTTAAGGGGAGGCTGGTTCAATTTTGACTTATTAATTTGCTAATTATCTACCCTATCAGCACAGTGATTATGAAGTAGCAATTGTCCTATATACAGTAAAACCTGTGTATATTGAACATTTTTTTTGCCGAGAAAAATGTTCAGTGTTGTTAGAGAGGTGTTCACTAAGACAGGTTTTACTGTAGATTTGAATAATCTAAATTAACTTTTAATATTCATGAGCAAAGAAAATTCAGAAATCTCTTGCTGCTCTTGTTCATCTCTTTTATACAATCATTTTAAGATAATGATGAAGAACTGGACCACGTTGGTCTTCTCGAATTTCCTAGTACTCATTATCCATCACTTGATTGTAAAATACTTATGGCCATGAAATAGCAAAATATTCATGAATTCATTTAAAGATGGCAGCACTTGTATACTACTTTGCATTTGCTAGATACTCCATATAGTCCCTAACCTGCTCCAAAAAGATGAGATGTCATTGTCCGGTACTCTACCACAAGAAATGAACATACTGTCTCAAAGTACTGACTTCCCTTATTAAGGAAATATATTTTGTTTTGATTATAACAGGGGCTTTTGCCTCTGAAATGGAGTCACACGACCCCCGAGACTGTATCAAGAACATAAGAATTTTTGTTAATTTTGAGATCTTTCTGAAGTATAGCTTTATTATATTCAAATAAAAGGCAAATTAGAGTAGATTGCACATATTGTATCATTTTTCTGAATCGGGCCCAGAAAATTCAAAATGGTTCCCTAATGGGGATTTTGCATTAATTTTCTTATCTCTTCAAAGTAGGGCTATGTCATATTCAAATTGAAGAAATTTTAGAGTAGTTCACAATTATAGTGATGTTTTATTGGTTCATGCCTCAGAAATTCAGAAATTCTGCTTAAAGCTGAATTTGCTTATAATTAAGAGATCTCTTCAAAGTATGGGGATGTCTGTCTTATTATCTGAAAATCAAGGCTAGGGTAGATGGTAAATATTATATTGGATACATACCAATTCATGGATATTTTGTTCGTTGGGTTTTGCTCTATCATGGAGTTGCCATCTTCTAGTAATTTTAAAAAAGCATGGCCACTGTTAGCCTCAAATCTATTGTACTGATTTGTGTGGAAGTAAATGGCATGCTGCATAAAATACATGTCTTAATGTCTTAATACAAAACATATGTAATTATTTCTCTATTTTCAGATTTTCACATCTCTCTGCCATGTACTGGAAAAGTTAGCGCTGTGGTTTCCGTGGAAATACAGCTAAACATCAGCATTTTTAGTGCCTCAAATCTTACTTCTCTAAACATCAAGCGACGTAAAGTTTGCGTCAAAGGTAAGTTAAGAGGGTCATGTTAAGATTTTTGAGTATTTTTTGTTTCACTTTTTGGGGGACTCCCATATAAGGAAAACATTGAAATGTGAACCTCTTAATTTAAAATGGCCACTGGTGTTTGGATAATACAGATTTTATAGTACATTTAAATCTGACTTTATTAAGTATTTTAGAGCTGTATATCAAAAATTACAAATCTTTATCCTATACTTAGTGTACTAAATGTATAATAACATTAAAAAATAAATTTGATATCTATTGGCAAAATGAATAACCGGAGGATATCGTGATGATATACTCCACATGTTGATTTTCCGCCAAATTGACTCTATTTGGCATGAAATTCATTTTGCAATGATATTATATACATTTAGTACACTCCTTGTAAGTGTAGGATATATAGGCTATTTACTGGGAGGGATTGAATATGGGTTTTATTCCGAGGGACAATACAGGGTGTCCGGAAAGTAAAGATACAAATACTCTTATTTTAAGAAATTTGGGTTTTTTGAATTGAAATTGCTACAGATTGTAGAGGAACAATATGACAATATATCTACAAACTTTCATCACATATATATTAAATGTGTTCAAGTTATGGTTGTTATGGTTACGGATGTGAGAGGTATGTGGAGCAGTTCCAGAACAACGCTAAAAAGTGAAAAATTGCTAAAAGACAACCATTTGAAACAGTGTTTTTGTTGTATTTTCTATCTATGTTTTGTTTTGTTCATCATTGTATTATTGCTGCTATAGTGTTTTCTTTTATATAATGATGTCATTGGCACATATCAGAACTATGCTATGTCACTAACCAGTAAAATAAAAGAAGTATTATACAAGTGCCTAGAAGAATGGTCCCTGACCATTAGTAGGAAAATCAATATTGCATCTCCACAATGCACCAATTCACAAAGCAAAAAAACAAATCTTACAATGGAGTGTCATGACATTAAAACTTTCTATACAATGCCCCATTTTCACCTGATAAAGCCTCTTTAGACTTCTACCTTAATGACCATTTGAAAGCAATATTTGTAAAAAGTTCAACATACAAATGAGACTCAGCTGGAAGCCAATGTTATCAGCAATCGGAGAGATGGACAGCAGTGGTTTTGTCAGGTCTTTGAATCGCCGGTCAAGATGCACCAATAATGTATAGATAATGGGGAAAATACTGAATATTCAATGATAGTAGTAATATGAAATTATCAAATAATGTTACATTACTAATCCCTATGCTGTTGTGGTACATAATTTGATATAATATAGGAATAGATGGTGGAGTGCTAAGATTATATGAGCAGGAAAGAGATTTGTAAAGCACTATAGTGACGTTGCTCCACATACCCTTGACTCCCGTAACCATAACAACCATAACTTTTTCATTTTGAAACTAAAAGTCATGACAGTTGCAGGATATATTCTTATAATGTCATTCTACATTCTGGAGCAATTTCATCTCAAAACAGGTAAATCTCTTAAAATGAGAGCATTTGTATCTTTACTTTCCGGACACCCTGTATGATATTGACCGAGGGAGCGCAGCGACCGAGTGTCAATATCATATTTCCTAAGGTCAATATCATATTTTCCAAAGAATAAAACCCATACGATTTTTTTCCCGGGGACAATACGATTTTTTCATGTAATACGATTCAATACGATTTTTATTCCTTCATATTTCCCTGGGAAAACAGTAGTATTATGGAATAAAGTAAGAACATTCTATGATTTTTTTCAGAATATCGTTTTAATCTACTCGGTGATATTGATATCAATATCACCTCGTAGATAAAAATGATATTCCTCAAAATCATAGGATATCCTATAAATATCAAACAGGGTGATCCAGAAGTTACAGATCAAAAACTATGAATTTAACTCATTTACTCTAAGACATAGCTTGTACTGTATAAATGGAAGCATACTGTTTCTCTCCCCTCCTCCACCATTAACTGTTATCCTTAATTGTTTTCAGATGGAGAATCTGTATATGATTTTGCAGCAGAAAATGCCAACCCAGTTGGTAAGTACATTTATTATTTGACTGTTTTCCTGTGCATCACCTTAGGTCTATTTCACGAGGGGATTCAGATTGACAAAACAATGGGTCTCAAAAAACAATGGGTTTTTGAAAAACAAAATCATGGCTTCAAAGGAGTCACAGTTCAATTCGTTCCTCATTTCATTGGATGCATTTAATACCAATTACCCAGAGACTTTGTAACCATTCTGAATGTGAACCCCTTTAACCCATTTATCACACATTTTCCTACAACTATGTTGTATCTGCCTTTTCCTTAATGCAAAACTAAAGAGGAAAACATCTCTGATGATTCAATTGGTAATTTTCTATTTCAGAAAATGTAGCAACAACATCGACTAATATTTTCTACATAGCTGTGGGTTGTGCATGTGCCCTGATATTAGTGATAGCGCTAATTGTTGCTATTTACTATATATGCACGTCACGACGAAGACCCCCTAGAGACAGAAAAAGATATGAGGAGTATCAGCCAAGTCAATAGTAAGACCCCTTGAAATTTTAACAGTAACAATTAAAAGTATGAAGGTTAAGTAAATATTTCATAAATGGTAGATGAACTATGAGTAGATTATGATCTGATAATCCTGATTTTAGCTAGAAATCACGGGTCTACAGGGTGACCCAGAACTTCTGAGATTTTTGAGGAAGATCGAGGAAGTGAATAAATTTTCTTATTTCAAATTTGGATACACTCACTCAGGAAAATCTGAAACAGTTTTCAATGATTTGGATCCAGTACCTCTGGGACACCTTGTATTTCTTTAAACCAAGGGATACTATGAATCTTTTTGCTCATTGCTCATTTATTAATTTCAGTGATACTGCAAGTTCTCAAGCGCTCAGTGCCAACACACATAATCAACCTCCTCTGCATAATGGCTCTCAGCAGTACATGTCACAGAATGGAAGCCTTGCAAGTAAGTTTAGAAAAAAAAATTTCTGTGACAATATTATTTGTTGGACATTGATTTGTGGAGTACCTAAATTATTTGAAAAATTTGTGTTTTCTTAAAGGCCCCATATGAAGTTTATTCCACTTTGGATAATATTGTAGTCAATATTTCTATGAAGATAATTGATATGTAGAACTTTTCTTTTGAAATCAATTAACAACTTTTTTGTTTTCTGAATATAATCTAGTGAAATTCCTGTTATTGGTTACAGGCAAAAATGTTTCAAGTAAAATTTGTTTATTCCAAAAGTGATTCCCTCGAACATGATTATGACCTCATCTGAATGGATATTGCAATAGGATTATATTTTTTGGTCATGTGATACAATATTGACCAATCAGGGAATATGGTTTATGACATCGTTATAACAATGATATTAATCATCACTAGGTATCCCAGGAGGGAGACGTCCTGGTTACGCTTCATCCAACTCTGACTATAAGCCCCCTCCACAAGACCCCCGGGTGACCTTGAGTGACATCACAATCAACAGGAAATGCGTCACCCTTGGAGACTGTCTGCTTACAGGTAAGAAATATTAGAATATGTTTTTAAAGTTGTATGTTATATTTATACTATATGGTGCAATTGCAGGACAGAAAATAGATTTAATGACTCAACTGAAAATACCTCGTTTAGTATCAGTTAGGCAAAAATCTCATTTCTAGTCATCAGGGCAGACAGGTATTTTTGGGAAGTTTCCAGAAATGTCTTGAGACTTGTCCAGATTTGTCAATTTCAACCAAATTTTATTATATTATATGCTATATAGTAAATATGTTAATGCTGAAACCATGGATTTCTAGACACAGACCCATTTATCTTGATAATATCTTGATTTGTCGAGTCTCATCAAGAAATGGTATTTCATCTCTGAAAAATAACCAACTGTTTAAATTTGAATTTCCAGGGACATTTGGAAAAGTTTATCATGCTAAAGTAATCAGTGAAAGCGAAGAAGATGGAATAACGCAACAAGATGTCTATGTAAAAACTGTAACAGGTCAGTGAAAACTTTGAACATGCAACCTTTAACCAACTTTCAACTATTAAACCAGAATCAGGCTTGGCATAGCCTATCATAAATATTAATTTTAAAAGCCAAGTTGTATATTTCATATTTCCAGAAGAGGCAAGGTCTGACCAAGTGGAAGTCCTTTTCAGAGAATGTGCCACAATGAAAGGGTTCCACAACCCTAATATTAACCCTATAATGGCTATATGTATATGCATATAACAAACGTGTATATTTCATATTTCCAGAAGAGGCAAGGTCTGACCAAGTGGAAGTCCTTCTCAGAGAATGTGCCACAATGAAAGGATTCAACAACCCAAATATTAACCCTATAATGGCTGTATGTATATGCATATAACAAATTTGTATATTTCATATTTCCAGAAGAGGCACGGGCTGACCAAGTGGAAGTCCTTCTCAGAGAATGTGCAACAATGAAAGGGTTCAATAACCCTAATATTAACCCTATAATGGCTGTATGTATAGATGGTTCTGAAGAAGGGATGTCTCCTCTTCTTATCTACATGTACAGCAATGAGGGAAATATGAAACCTTTCCTGCAGAGGTGTAGGGTATCAGATATTGGCACTTCACATGTAAGTATTTAAGAAAATATTGCACCTTACCTGTGTATCTAAACATCCCTCTGATCCGAACACTTCTCAATCAATCACATTTTCTTGGTCACAATTTTGTGAAAATCTCCCATTGGCGAACAAATTAAGGAATATGATTATGTAGTATAGTAGAACTTATGATTTTTTGGCATACATCGTAAACTTTAATGCAGCCATTTTGATATTTAGGTCAGTATTTTTTACAATATATTTTACAGTTTAAAAATGTTTTGTGTTTTTTCAGTTACTTAATACCCAACAGTTGGTGTTCATGTCAATACAAGTCATAAAAGGCATCCAGTATTGAATTAAAGTACATTAATTTTAATAATAAATATTTTGTGTTTTTTTCAGTTACTTAATACCCAACAGTTGGTGTTCATGTCAATACAAGTCATTAAAGGAATCCAGTATTTACATCGGAAGCGTATCGTTCATAAAGATCTCGCCACGAGAAATTGTGTGTAAGTAAACATTGGCATAATTTAACATAATTTTGTGTCACATCTCGTCGTGATCTGTCACATATTGACATATTTTGTCATAACCTGTCATCTTGTGTTATGTCATTGCATATTTTGTCATATATTTTGCAAACATTGGCATACATTGCAACTTATATTGGCATACATTGCAACTTATATTGGCATATTGTGTCACATAAATTTAATATACAAATATTTCTTATATTGCACATATTTTATTTTACCGAACATCAAATGTAAAATCTTTCTTTGAATCACAGAGCTATATGTAGTACATCTGGTGTTTCATGAATCACCACATGTTTTTTCAGAGTGTCAAGTAACCTTACAGTAAAACTCTGTGACACTGCGCTATCAAGGGATCTTTTCCCAAATGATTACCACTGTCTAGGAGACAATGAAAACAGACCTGTTAAATGGTTGGCCATTGAAGCATTGTTATATAGAAAATTCTCACCAGCAAGTGACGTGGTATGTATTTTGTTTTTCAAATGTTGCTGTCTGCAATGAGTTACATCAAAAATCTGGCTAATTTATCACCAAAAGGGTTAGGAATTATATAATATGATTTATTATAATTCGGAAGTGATAACATATTGTTATAGTCTCCAACCTTTTTGTGGACAGTGCTCACACTCGGAGTCTTGCATCTGTGACAATTTGCAATAACTTACAAGATGGTGACATTTTGTCATATTAATTCCTTGTTATTATTTATTGGAGAGGTATACTGGTTATTTTTATCATTAATTTAGGATTATTTACCATATAATACTAACTACTCATTTAATTCTGTTTACTTTACACCGGTTGTTTTCACAAAATCAGCTGTTGTTTTTAGCGACTTTTCCATGTTAAATTTATGTTTTCCATTAATTTTGCTTGTAGTTTTCATTTATTTAGTCTGTTGTGAGAAATTCTTGTGAAACCCCTGTTGAAATTAAACTCTTATTTTTCAGTGGTCATTTGGTGTTGTACTTTGGGAGTTGATGACCTTAGGAATGCAGCCTTACGTTGACATCGACCCATTTGAGATGTCAGCCTATTTACAAGAAGGATACAGAATATCACAGCCTCCAAATTGCCCTGATGAATTGTAAGTTTGGTCAAGTATTAATTTTGATTATTGTTCAGGGGGATCCAGTAAAAATTGTGGGTTGAATATTGATCAACTTTTTTCAAAATCTTTTTTTTCAGAAAATGTTCTTTACATGAGGGTTTTAAACTTTCTTACAGTAACTAAAGAAGGAGTCATGGATATAAGTGAATAATAGAATTGGAAATTAGGTAGAGATGTAGATGGTTGAAAACTGACCTACGATATTTAAATTAGTTTTAGGTTGGAAGGCTACAGCTAGAAAATAAAAGATAATCCTATTTGGTAGATGCGATCGAAATCATGACCGACATTCGTCTGCTTTATTAATCTACTAAGCTTGTGTTGTGTTACAAGTATTATCGCAAAATTCCCAGACTTGTTTTTCTCATATTTCCAGCTGGTGTTTGTTTACATGCACTATTTATCATTTCAGGTTTGCTGTCATGGCATGCTGTTGGGCACTTGCACCAGAGGAGCGACCAAAATTCTCACAACTTCTCATATGCTTACAAGACTTTTACACAGCTCTTGGACGCTTTATCTAGCGACATAAGCTTATCGTCATAGCAATCATATTATGAGATGTAATTATCATTAAAGTGTCATGAGTCACCACATATAAACATGATATTTTACTCAGGCTTATTGAAGAGGTGCACCGTAGATTGACACAATATATCTAAATGAATATTGGGTGTGTCACCGTCTGCTCTGAGGAATAGTGGGTGTGTCATGAGCTACCACATAGTCATAATCATGAATCACCATATACAAAAATATGTATAGCATGAAACAATTTGTATATTAAATGACATAGATCTTATCTGAAGCATTATAGTGGAGAAAGCATTGATTATCACGAAACAACAAAAATGGAGGAACCAAGGAGTCCCCAAATAGAACATATGAGTCACCACAAAGAGATTTCATTCACTTGTCACTTGTGATCAACTACAAGTGTAATTATCAATCATATAATGGGGGTTTCGATAGTCATTGGGCTTTTAATTGTACAAATTGTCCTTCCAACGAATATTGCAATTTGTGTTAAAAAGTTGAATGTACATGAAAGTGATGAGTTGCTTAATTGAGAAATGTTACAAGAGTAACATTTTGAACAGTGGAATTTTTATAGTCACATTTGTACAAATTTATTAACAGAATTTATACCCAATGAAAATTACAGTTTGTATTTAAAACACTGAATGATTTGTTGGTTGAATATTGAATGATATGTTGGTTGAATATTGAATACCAGGATTATGCTTTAGCATATGTTTCTAAGGTATGAAATACCACATTTTTGTGTAAATGACATGCATGTGATTTGAACAAAAAATTATCATAAATTTTGAAAAATCCTTTCTAATCTTAATTTTGAAACATTTGTATCACCATGTTTTGATTATGTTTCGATGTACATGCTAATATAGATGGTCTATGTGTTTTTCTTGTTTGATGTCAAAATGGCTTTAATTTATAAAAAGCAATACACTTATAAGCAATAAATCATATGCATATTGTAAATGGCCAGTAGAAAAATACCAAGGGTGAAAAGCATTTTTGATACATTGTATGTATGGTAAATGTAACAGCCAAAGCTGGCTCTTGATATGTATGTTTGTACCCCCAACTATCATGAATTTAATAAGCTTATGCAAATAGAACACCTCTCAAGTGAAACATTATTTTGAAGTTTCAAAAGCCTTCCATTTACACAAGTTTTACCGTACGATGTGGGAGAAGGAAAGCATTCTATGATATTTCAATGTGTTATAGAAATATATTAGTAAAGTATAGGTAGTATATGTGCTAGTATAAAACTTACATAAATGGCCACGGTTTTAAGTTTTTGTTATACATTCTAAAATGTAAAACCTTGGTCAAATTCATTAATTATCATCTGAGGAGTTTTGTTTTTTGACACACCATTTGATTTTACTTTATAGTCTGGTATATAGATTGAAATTCACAGGCACCAATGAAATGTTTTTTTTCAATCTGCAAAATATAGAATGCTATCAGGGAAAATGCATTGGAATAATTGAATTAACATAAAATGTTCATTTTGTGACTTTTCTTGAGTAATCTGTTGAACAGGTTGTTGATTGATGTTAAAAATGACATATTGTGTTACAGTTGATTTCCTGTCATTCAGTTTGTCCACTTAAACTTGAATAGATTTTCTACATATGAAAAGAGTTTATGTTCAAAATGGATTTTCAAGGAAAGTGATCCATGTTATTTGGACATACAATAAGGGGCTCGTCAAGTCATGAATAATTATACATTAGTCATGTGTTCTTATTATACTCATGTATAAGTATGAGTATACTAAGCTTGATTAAAAACTCAGCCGTGTATCATATATCATTAGAAAGTTTAACACGTTCAGTCATGTGTCATATTATTATACCAATGGAAAGATGATCTGCAAATGTGTTTGAACTCAGAACCAAAATTAAAAAATGTAAGCATCTTTGGCCAATCATGGAGCTTGTTGGTTATTTCAAGTTTGCTCACTGAAAATGTATTTGTGGAATAATTTTTTGTTTTTGCTATATTGAGTACTTAAGAGTACATTGTATTTAATAGTGACAATCATTGCATGTTTATAATTGTATTGTACTTATTAGGATATTGTAATTAATTGTTTGTTACATTTTTATAAGCTTTCAAGTATATTTGTGGTCACAATTAGCAAGGTTTAGAGAAATTTCTCGAATTATTTGCCAATTCCAGCCCCTCATGATCATTTTTTATGATCGTATGATATAGTAATGTAGAATAATGTCAATAAATGTCTCTTTTTATGACTGACATCTTGTGAATTGTACCACACTAAAAAATTCAATTGTTTACATAATAATTGTTAATAAGTTATGTAAGTTATTAAGTATTACTTGAATAGTTCACAATTAATTATTTTAGTTTAATTCTGTAGTTGTGTTACACTCTCATTGGTTAGTTTGAGAACTCAAACTATCCTATTGGACGATAATATCGAAGCCTGATTATGTCGGGTGTTTTTAAGTTTTCATGAACTTGAAACTTTTACATCTGAAGAAACCAATCAAAGTTCAAACAAACAGGCTTTTAGATGTCATCCAATAGGGACTTAGGATTGTCAAACTTTTGAAGGGGGGGTGTACTTGAACACAAACTTTTCTAAGGGTTCTCTGGAAATCCAAATTTTGTTCAGTGATATAAAGAAGTTTTATTGTATCCTCAATTTTGTTTATGATGTCCTTATATTTAACATTAAAGTGATTTAGTACAAAATACATTTTTATTGTATTTATTTCATTTTCCATTAATTGTACATGTACAAATTGTATATATCAATTTGAATGAATTGTATAGAATTATTTAAAGTTGTAAAAAACAACTAATTGTATTATAGCTATAACCACATTGTGTGATGTAAAAATAATAAAGTCAAACAAATATTGTCAAAACAAAAGCAATGATTTCGTGGAGTTGTTTTTATTATGCAGTATTTGGTATTAGATGGCAGTATCCAAATAATATGCCAACTACATATCAAATTTTCAATTCAGAGTTTAGTGTTACAGTACTGATTTTTTTCAAGAAAAAATTGGAATTTGGGATGAGAAATACATTTTTTGGATTAAAAGAGGGCACTATCCGTCTTCAAATGGAAAATCCGTGTTTGCTTTAAGCTCTGTTCTACTTATATGTCCATGTGTAGTTACCCTCTTTTACTCCAAAGAAAGGTCAAGAAGAATGTTGAACAGAGCTCTTAATTAATATTGATTTCATTTTGTAGTTGGATTGAGATTTAGAAGATTTAGTTAAATAAAATATGTGGAGAATTTACTGCAAAATTTTGGGAAGACTGGCATATGTTCAATTTCCAATATACACTTTCAACATGCTAAAAATTCTAAGCGTCTAAAGGCCAAAGGTGTGCGTCTTGGTATGCCCATACATGGACTAGCGGGGACATGTACACGTCGTGCCTGGTCCAGTTCAGCTTGTTCCAGTGTCTGCTTCATCACTTTGCTCTTCGTGTAATGTCTCGCTAACTTTTTCTGTTTATTCTCGATATAAACAGACGCTCGATTTTGAAGCAATGTATTCGCTATGTCATTATGTTTGTCCCGTAGGGCCAACATTAAAGCAGTCATACCTCCATTGTCTTGCATGTCAACGTTTGCGCCACGTGCCATGAGAAATTCAGCGATTGGTTTTAATCCGCGCCAACAGGCTAACATTAGCGCTGTATGTAGACTTTTTGTTTGGAGATTAACATTAGCGCCTTTACGCACTAATAATTTCACTATGTCAAGATGCCCTTCTTGTGCGGCTAATATTAGCGCTGTGTAGTTCTGTTGTTTTTCTTGTATGTCTAGTAACGCCCCCTGGTGGAATAATATTTTCATAATAATGATATGGTCTGAGCGTTCGTATCGATGGCGCACTGCTAACATCAAAGGCGACCACCCTTCACCTTGTACTGTGTTAACAGTTGCGCCATATAGTAACAACATTTCCGTCATTTTTATATGCGCCAATTGGACTGAATGATGAAATGAGGAGTATCCATTATAGTCCTGCTTGTTAACATCCGCGTTGTAATCCAGCAGAACGCGCGCTGAATTCAATGTATCTTTGATCACTGCATACATCAATGGCGTCAATCCGTGGGAATCCGGTAAATCGACAGGTACCCCGCAGTGAATAATCGTATTCAGAAAATTTAATTGGTTCATCATAGCTGCTAGATGTAACACAGAGATTTCTCCATCTTTTCCCCAGGATAAATCGCACGGGAGTAATAATGAACAAATTGGCTTTATATGCTCTCGATTTGCCGCCATAATCAACTGAACACTTTGGAAATCGCATTCTGCGATCGCGTCTGCTAAATCAAGTGCTATCTCTTCAATTTCTTCATCAGTTAATTCCTTCGTAGTATCAGTGTTTTTAGTCCCTGTTTCAATATAGGATGATTCAGCCATGTTGCATTAATGGTCCTTTTTGTGTTTTGAAGAACAGTGTTTCGGCCCTCTGTATATGACCTTATATGGTATGCTCCTTGAATTCACTGAAAATAGAACCATCATGTTACCTTAGTGATGCTTATGTCTTAAGATATATTTTTTAATAAAATGCGGATATCCCAAATAACAGATGTTTATTTATGCTTTTGTTGTAACAAGTGAACTAAAATAGGCTAATTATGACATCATAGTTCTTGTAAAGTATTAAATTATTTCAATAATGGGATACCCAAAGTTAGAAAAATATTGATAATATCACAGTGTGATAACTCATTCTTAAGTAATTGAATATCATTACGATGACATCACACAAATAGTATTGTTTAAATCACTATAACTACTATTTTGACTTAATCATACCTGTATGTTTCTTTATGATTAATAAAGATGAATTAAATTGTAATATTCACCATTAATTCCATATAACCGTTAAAAAGATATGGTATTCCAAAAAAGAAATACCTAGAGATCCAAAACTTTGAAAAAACTATATAGAAAAATATTGATAAATCAATTACAGTATGTACACATGAACCTAGCAATGCATTGCCTATTGTAAAAATGTCACTAAAAATGTCCAGTTTCATGAGTTTTAATCACATTTACATTGAATCAAACTGTCTTATACTCAAACTTCTAGATATTCAAAAAGCAATGAACTTACCTTCAGCGATGAGTGTTTATTTTGCCTATTGTTTATTCATTTGATTTATTGTGGTTACTAAGATAATGAGAATCTTAGAACATGTCAACCTTGAGATATCTTACTTTATCTTGATACGTTGATATTTTAACTGTCCTAAGATTGTGACTATTTCCTAGTTACGACCTGTATACAAGCAGGTTGGTCTAATTCACTTATTCCAGAAATTAAACTTAAAGTAATTTGGATTAACCATAAAATCCTTGTAAAAGCTTCAACCTCAATGGTTTTGTATCCTTAACAAGAGGAATGTCATATCCCATGATTCTTTGTTCTTGATTTGGGAGTGGTTTGATATAATTGGTTTAAAGGGGTCATGTGATTGGTGTGATGCATGCTGGGATTTTGCTTTGTTCGTTCTGGTTCTATTGAGAATATCAAAGACTATTGGATTTATAGGTTCTGGTTGAATTTTAAAAGTTGAGTTTATTTGATTTGGATTTTACATATGTGAGTTGAATGGTATAGTGGAATGATCCAATAATAACTGAATCACACAATCCCCAACGATAATATGTGATCGTGGTCCTAATTTTAAAGGGAAAATTTAGTGAAAAAGAGTGGAATCAGCAAGGAATAAAGTAAACATGTATGTAGTCAACACTCTAAAATTCAAGAAAATCAGGCAGTTCATTCAAATTTTAGAGAGAAAGAAAGGGGAATAAATATGATCAAAATAAATTTTATTCCTAGTCACAAATAAATAATTTCATTACACCGGGTTACAAACTCTGCATCCATCTATTGTTACAGAAATATGATAATGTTGATTATTTCTAAATGTAGACCAAAAGCCGACATAGTTTTGATTTTCCAGGGTATTCTCCCTGGGGGTGAGACCCTGGGGTTGAGACCCTGGGAGTCAGTCAGGGGGGGGGGTAATAATTGATTAAATTGATCTACTTTATTGTTTACCATGAAATCGATTAATCTCTTACCCTGACAAAATGTAACGACCTGGTTGTATTTACAAGTGTAACAACTGTTACAGAAGTTACAGATGTTGGGTGCTGATGCCTAATGCTGGTTACTTAACACTAAAGTTGCCAAATCATATTGCTTCACATTTTCTATGTTCTAGCATCAAAGGGAGTGTTTCGTTTGCCAACAATATTTGAGATCAATATTTCATAGTAGCACGGACAAATATGAGGCAAAATGGTGAATTACGTATTTGCGTCACTCATACTATGAATGCCTATAATGTCTACAAATTAAAAAATGTTCCTTATATATTATTTTTGTATGTCAGAATTTCACTCTAGTTTTCTAATGTGTAATCAGATTTTGATAATACTGAAATTTAAAAAAGTTATTAAAGAAAAAGTGACCATTGAATAGTTCTGTCCGGGCTACTATGTATTCCAAACAAGCATTTGAGAATGTTCAAATTGTGAGCACCCTAGAATACAAATGTACAGACCTAGGGTCAAACATCTTTATTTGAAAATGCATGTCTCCCAATATTTGCCAAATATAGTCTCGGTTCCTATGTCTCCCACTCAGAAGTTCTCGAGGGCCATGGTTTAAAATCCACAATAATTAAAAGAAAAAGCAAGAAATCTTATGAAATGGAGTTAATATATCCTCGTATATAAAATCAATACTCAATACAATACATGTACTTAAATACAAGAAATACAATGATTTCAGTCATTTCATCTTAACTTAAAGAGAAATGAGTGAAATAAACACCACCAAAAAACACTTTAAGCATGGGTTAACGAGAGCCGTGAGATGGTTATAGAATGTCAATTTTCCTTTGAGTCTTGAATTATTATTGATCCTAGTATGTTTATTGATTTGCATTGAGAATTCTTTGAGTTTAACCTGTGCTGAAATATAATTCTACAAATGTCATTGGTTTTGTATTGCAGATTTGTATGTTTTAGTTTTGAGTCTGTGTCAGCCTATTGAAAAATCTGAATTGGAGTTATCAAAATGTAAATAGAAGATACAAGATCTTATATCTTATAACATAAGATATTGGTGATAGTGTTGCCATTTTATATTTTATATAAGCTCATGAATTTACTTGATTTCTCTATTTAATACAATATTAACTTCATTTAGTAATTTTATTTACCCCTTATCAAACGTCATTTGTCAAAGGTCATTTTCAATTTTTGATATCTTTACAAAGGCAAAATAAAAAAAACATCACATACCTGATTAAGACAAATGCACATTCCAACATCCAATATCTGTTAAAAACATTTTCAATGTAATTCTTGTTCCTTTAAAATTGTGAAAATGAATACCCTGCGTGCAGTCTAGTTACAAACTACTATTTAGAAGACGAAGCTCTCTTTTGAGAAGCGAAGTCGAACGAATGCAAAGGGTAGAAAAGGAATGATTTGATCAAAAATATCGTAAAACTGGAACAATTTTTCCAAATAATATTCTTAACCTGCCTCCTGAACTTCCTCAGTAAGAAAAATGAAGTGTTCCTTTTGCGATTGCATGTATAATTTCCCATGGAAAAGGCATCCGTAATTGGCTGCTTAGTCTAGTTTGTCCTTCATTCTGTTTACACACCAGAGAAAATGACCTTGTATTGGAATACATTGAAAACACACAGGATGCAACTAAATTGTGTTAATGATCAACTTTCTCTAAATCAATGTTTTGATTGCTATACTGATTGTTTAATGGAAGGGGTAATGTTCACTCGTTGATAGTTTTGGAATAATACTGTTGTAGCATGCACATATATATGCACTGACGTCAGAAGGGTGAGGGCGTTGGGCCCCTTTTTTCCCAGATTTTTAGATTTGAAACCGAGCCTAGAATTGAAAGCTCTAGAGCTAATTAAAGTCAAAGTCTTATAATGACAGAAATGATACTATGTCAGGTATCTAGTCTAAGATTGTATACCATGTATAGTTTCTCAGGAACCCATACAATATGTAAATACTGTACTTTGAAGAATAAGTGCAAAATCAAAATGTATATTTTAGTAAAAGTCAAAGTTTTTAGTCAAAGTCAAATTAAGTTTTCTAAAAACACATTTTTCTTGTTTTTATGATTGAAAATGTTGTGCTGCATGCCCATGCCCGCCCCCCCCCCATCCCCCTAGATTGCGCCGCATGGATCGTGTGCGACATGCTTCACGCATGACCCATCCATACCCAAAAGTCGCCCCTACCCCTCTTGGCAAATCCTTCAGACGCCCCTGATATGTCATGTTATTAATTTAACTATGACTGCTTAAAGATCTTAAAGGCCCCGTGCAAAGTTCAAAAATATGTTATTATCTTTCATTTACAATTTTTCATGACTTTACAGTTATTTTAGAGATATTTGAAAGAAATGTCTTCCAATAGCAATATAATACTTTGATGAAGGCTCTGGATTACTATGGATTAATTTTACATTATTCTTTTTCTCTGAACTAAGAACATAAACACAAAACACCAATATCCCAGATCCGAGTAGAAATTATCTTGATTTACGTCATTAAAAAACTGATGTCATATTTGGAATCTACATGTAAAATTACATCTAGAAATGTGGTTTTAAAAAGTGTTTATCAACTTTGAAAAATTAATTTTCTTTGAAAATGTGACTTCTAGGTCGGGGAGATTCCCCATAGAGCCCATGTTGTAAAACCACAAAAAGTGAAATATATTTTCTTGTGCTGGGCAGATAATATTTTCTTTTACTGGACATATTTGAATTTGCATAACTATTAGATACATAATAGTAATATGAAAAGTGAACCATTAAAACTGATGCATATTCAAGTTTAAGGGAATTTTGCAATAGCCTGCCATGTTAATTCCCCCGAATCAGCCACCTAGTGGCGAAACTGGTAACTACCTACTCGCATCTGAGTAATTCAGAAAGAACATAATAATTAGAAAACTTATGGGTAATCTGAAAAAAAAGAATTTTATGTTTCAGTCTCAGAGTGGATGGAGGCTGGTGTTTTATCGATGAAAATAAAGATGGCAGGTTGATCAAGTCACATACAATTCTTATCAAAACATTAATAATGGCACTATCAAAGCTTCTTTGTTACTAGTATTTACCCTACATACCCTAAGTCTAAAATCAGGTCTTTAGTTTGATTTAAGGAGTTCATGTTGCCTTATTTTCTCATCTCTTCATTGAAGTTTGGGACAGTCTGGTGATGTAACACAGAATTCGAGGTCGTGGTTGATATGGTAGTGAACACAGTCCACCATGGTCTACCATAAAGACGTTTTACTACTTAAGAGTAAAATTTCAAAAAGCAAAAGCTTTAACGTCCAGTATTAGAATCCCTTTTCTTACTACAGTATTGAAAATATATACCATTAATACTATCCAACAAGAATCTACTTGTTGAGCTTCACTGAATCAACTTGAGTTCTGAGAAAATGAGGATTCCAGCAAGGACACATTGACATAACATGGTGACATACATGTACATGATGGTATCTTGATGCGAAGTCCTTGGTCAATGGTGTATGTCCCCATGTTAAGTCAATACACCCTTTTTGAAAGAACATGTACATGTATGTTAATGTGTAGTATTATGGCCCTATTCTGGGACAAAACTGTTCAACTTATGTGATAAAATTAAAACGTTTGTAATCTTCATTTATGGAGGAAATGAAGAAAATACATCTATATACATACAGTAAAATACAAATACTATTAAAAAAAAAGATTCATGGGAAACCAACCGAGGGGGATAGCGACACCTGATGGTAGCAATGTTAAACATTTGTGGACAAGTTCTCTTAAGAACATGTCGGTTAAACCCAAGAGGGGGAAGGTTAAACCCAAGAGGGGGAACACCCCAGGGTTCAGAGATGGCCATAAATTCAATGTATAGAGATGACTACCATCACTAATTGGTCAAATGACACTGGAGCTGACATGAACAAAATGGCAGATGAAAAATTTGTAAAAACTGATAAGATGTTAATTTCTGACATGTAAAAATCTTTAGTTTTCCTGAAATATGGTGTGCAATATGGGGATTTTTAGAAAATAGACAGGACAAGGAATGACATGAGCCAGAAATATTCTAAAATTGAAACAATTTTCTGTTGGCCTGCTCGCTAGATCTGATATCCTTTGATATTATAGCTATAATAGTTAGTTCACATAAACATAAAGATGTAAGGGATATGTTAACATCGATTAAAACATCTCATGGATGTGTGATTTTCAGAAACTAGATGGTTGAAATGGACAAGTAAAGGTGGTAAGCAAAAGGGGTAATTAAGAGGTCATCTCCAAGCTCTGGGATTTTTCCTCCTCTCATTAAACCTTCTACAACCTCTTAGTAATCTCTGGATATATCAAAATATATTACATGTTTTGTTTTCAAATCTCCAGAGTTGATAGATAATTGAATGATGTATCACTGGTAAGAAAATCAAAGGGATTGGTTAATAAATAGCATCTGTGTAAAAAAGCGTCCATTACTTATAACCTCAAAGCATTACTCTGTTTTACTACATTAGAATATAATCATAATCCATTTTTAACATGACATGAAACAAAATATCTAAATTGATTGTTTCTATATTTATTGTACTGCAGTACTACTTCCATAGCGACAGAGACCATGGTAACAATAAATCAATTGAAAATTATCTCATACATGATTTTTAGGAATTAAACAATGATCAAAACGAATGTGTTAATTGAAAACATTTTCATGATAACATAACATTTTTGATCCTCGGTGCAATGAATATAACATTCAACATTGTACACATTTAAATCACATACAAAACAAATCTGTAACAAAATTATCATACAAATTTTACACATATCTAACATCAGCTTTTTGAACTTTAAACAACCAATACAATAAAATACAGTGAAACTGATCAATGTTAAGACATACCACTAGAGATCACCTCACCTCACCAGGGTTAATTTCATTCTTGACTATAAGTTGGAGAAACTGGCTGCCTTTTGTGCAGTGGAATGAATGTTAATATGGTAAATTGTGGCAATCATTTTTGGTGCTCAAATGTTAATCATGAACCCCATGTATTCACAACCCACACTCTTAGCATGACCTCAAAGTTGTTCACATTATATAAGCTTTACTGTATTTTACTTTACATATTAGATATTCTTTCTATTCAACAATATGCCAAGTTTCTACATACAGGTTTTAACTAATATTGCACATTACATATACTGAGATAGTCATGTCTCAAACTCCTGCATTTCCCTTCTAATTCTCAACTACTATAGTTGGGAAAATATGTGTATATCGGGTTGGACTTGAATCAAGACTATATATATATTGAAATAGTCATGTATTAAACCCCTATACCCCTTTTCTAATTCTCAACCACTATAGTTGGGGAAATATATGGTGGGGGAGGACAGTGACTTAATGCAAGACTTATTCAAACATATTGAGATAGCCTTGTATCAAGCCCCTATATTCCCCTTCCAATTCCCAATAATTAGTGAAATATATTAAGTGAGGGGGGGGGGCAGTGGCTTGAAGCAAGACTATTATTTAGAATGATATATACTTGGAATGCTTGTATCTCATACGCAAATGTCACAATGTAAATGGATTAAAATATTTGAACAATATTAAGAGGAATGCGCATAATAATATAAGAGATTGGCAGCCATTTTGAAGAGGCATTGTCAACCATATTGAAACAGAAAATCTGGGTAGACCCACATGTAGAAATATTTTAGAGAAATGTGTGAAATGGTAGTAACCAAGACATAGCGGCATTTAGGCTTGAGACTCATATAATTTCACATAAGCAGCCATATTGTTCATTTCTTTGCAAATGAGGTAGCCAAACGATCCCAAAATTCCCCAAATCCATCTACATATATTTGTCTCTGACAGGATATGTATTTTGGGTTTATGGGATTGCATTAACTTCCTCTTTTCATTTTACATAAAACAGTTATATTGTGCAGAGCTCAAAAAAATTTCATTTCATAATTCTTTTCGATGATCCTTTTTATGATGTATACATTTGTAAACTACACATATACAAAGTTCAACCAAAGCCAGTACCGATCAAAATCAACACTGAAATCAAAACCGAAAAAATAAAACAAGCAATTCCTCGTGGTAATGGCATTGTTCGGGGTGGAGGTGAGTAATCGCAATATAACTGTTCTACGCGTCAACTGCTATTCTTTCTTCATCCTTTGGCTGGTCATTCTATAGATGATGCTGTCCCTACCAGGATCCATCCCCCAAATACCATAAGAGATGGCGAACAGGGAGATGATCAAGATGATCCCGAGCCATAATATGATGTTAAAGATGACTGCATAGTTTGGGTCTACATCATCGGTAAGGTTGATTTTAGGCAACTGAAAGTATAAAGTATTTGTGTAAAGTTGAAGTACAGTATACTGTGCTCCCAGTTATGTTCGACAATACTATATTTCATGTTTTTGTGATTTTGATATTTGGCGGCTGTTGATTGTCACTCGTTTTGAAACTGTGAGTTCAGTAACCCTTCGTCAGAGTTAAGTACATAAGCTTTGAAATAAGTGAAATGAGTCTTGGTGCTGATAAGACGGACAATGACCCCAAAAGTTAGATGTCATGACTTTAAGGAAGAATTTCATTCTATGTTGTTTTAGAAAACACATCAGTCACCTTTTTGTTCTCAGAAATGGAACATCTATCCGAACCTCATTCAACAAGTTAGCTTGTTTATTCATACAATATATGACATTCATTGTACCATCTGACTTAGGGTGTTTATTATAATAAAATTATTTTCATTCTATTTATGTTCTGATGGGTTTTTATAGCATTTTTGATTCGACATAAAACAACAACTTCCTCATGATTACACTCTACTATACCTAAACCCTAGAAATGCATAAGATACTCTGTTTGTCTAATTGTATTGTTTAGTATATTTTTGCAAGTACCTTATTAACATCTAACAGTCTTCCGATAAACCATTCATAAGGAACAGACAAATAAAAACAAATAAGATAATTATTACTAATAAGCCAAATGGGTTGCTCATGAACACCAAATGCAAGGTATAGTAGAGTGGAATGGCTAATATAGTTTCCATCACTGATCCCGTGAATGTCAATAATACACTGTATGTGAGACAAAACCCATTTTGCTCCTGTAAGAAAATCACATGCTGGTCATGTTTTGGAATGCAAAATGGAATGAATTAGCCAAGAATTGAGTTACCAGGCATGTAGTTAACACTCTAAATTGTATAGAAATGCAAGAAAATCAGGTAGTTCCTTCACATTTTTACAGAAAAAGCATGATATAGACATGATCAACCCAAATATTCTCAAATCAATAATTGCTAAATGTTCATTTATTATTATGAACAGATGCTTTCTCTCTTGTCTATGTACCACCTTTGTTTGACATGAAATGCATGAATGATTATTAACCACATTGCTTTATTACTTTGTTTTCAAATTAGTGGCTGTTGAATTAAAATGTTATTGCGGATTGTTTTTCTGCTATGACACGCAGCCAATACAATTTGGTGCTGCAACTGCATTAAATTAGTATCAAAATACTGTCAAATCCATGATTTTATTTTGGGGGTGTTAAAGCAAGCGAGAAACTACACAATCTTAAAAGCAAAAATTTATAATTCAGAGATCAACATTCTATACATATTTTGAATTCGGAGCGGCGAAACTAACAAATATGTGGCCCTTAATATTCTGATGCTTTTTGCCATTCAGGTACCTGGTAAAATTGTTTCATCTCTGCTTCATGCAAATTGAAAAGAAAATGTCCATAAAATTGTCTCGCCTAACACTCCAAGTTAAAATGGTTTCAAATCTAGCTTTTTCTTCGTAACATATGTAGTAGCAATTTAGAATGAAAATGTCCATAAACTTGTTCAGTTTGGTGTAACATTCCAAGTTAAAAAGGTTTCAAATCCAGCTTTTCTTCGTAACATATGTAGTATAAGCAAATTAGAGCGAAAATGTCCATAAAATTGTTCAGTCTAACATTCCAAGTTAAAAAGGTTTCAAATCCAGCTTTTCTTCGTAACATATGTAGTAGCAAATTAGAATGAAAATGTCCATAAACTTGTTCAGTTTGGTGTAACATTCCAAGTTAAAAAGGTTTCAAATCCAGCTTTTCTTCGTAACATATGTCGTATAAGCAAATTTGAGCGAAAATGTCCATAAAATTGTTCAGTCTAACATTCCAAGTTAAAAAGCAAATTAGAGCGAAAATGTTCATAAAATTGTTCAGTCTAACATTCCAAGTTAAAAATGTTTTAAATCTAGGTTTTCTTCGTAACATATGTAGTATAAGCAAATTAGAAAGAAAATGTCCATTAAATTGTTCAATCTCACATACCAAGTAAAAATGGTTTCAATTCCAGCTTTTCTTCGTAACATAGCATAACATAACTATGTAGCATTCCTTTAAATATTATAGATATAAATTATTTTGATTGGTTAAATCTGGGTGTCATTCAATTCTTCAAAAATTAACTTTGTGATGAGCTCTGATTGGTCTAATCCAGTTTCTAATGTTACATATTCATAAGTTTCTATTTCAGTTGATTTATTTTCTATAATAGCAGTTTGATTCCTTTTCATATTTCCAAATTCCAATGCTGCAAATATTTGATCTTGTAGGCGTAATCTTACAGTTATCTCGCGCATCCAGTCATCTTGATATTTTATACCAAATAGAATTAAAATAAAGATAAGGTATAAAAATAAATACTGAAAAAATCTATCACGTATAAACATCCTATGTGTTATAACAGTATTCAGTTTTTAGAAATGTAATGAAGTTGAAAATTGATGCTCTGACTTCAGGTCATTAATCAACTTTAATTATCAACATTTAATGGACCTTACTCAAACTTTAATGTCAAACATTTTCAAAACAATTTTAAAGTAAAAAGTTATTGTTTGTAGGCATGGATGTTTTAAAGGTGTCATCCAGAGCAGGTTTTCAACTTCCTGCAATTGTTATTTAAACAACTCCCTCGAAACATTATTTTAATTTCAACATATGACCCCTTAAAACATTCTGCGTAATTATAAAACTAACGTCACACATTGACTTTGAATAGCGCTGAACATTATCTTACAATTAATTGAGAATCCCAATGGATATATGAATAGCCATTATGTTTAGAGGTCTCATCAAACTTAGTCATACATTTTCTTTTAGACCAACAATTTCAGAGTATTAGTTATTGTGACATCACAAGAGAATTTTTGAAATTTTTGTACCGGATTTTCTCGCATATACGCCCCCCTAATTTTAGGCCCATGGGCCAAAAATCGAATGTAGTACGCTTATACGCCCATGGGCCTATAAAAAATGACTATTTATTGATTTTTTCAATAAATTCAAGAGTATTTTGTCACTGGCAGATCGTTACTTTGTTTCAACATTAAGTTCAACGCTGTGCTGTAAGTGGCAGTGTTGGATTGTTCTGTTGTTACTTTGTTTCAACATTAAGTCCAAGGTTGTAGGTGACATTTCCTTTATAATTCTTACAAAACATGCGGTAGGACTACAACAGTAGGTACGGTAGTCTTTGAGGAAGATGGCACCTACCAGTACTAAACCATTGTATTCATCAGCTCTTCTCACCTTTACGCCCACTGGGCCAAAAATCAAAAGTAGTACACTTATACGCCCATGGGCGAAAAATAAGAGGTAAAATAACAGACGAAATTAACCCTTCTTTCAGTTATACGCCCAGGGCTTATATGTGAGAAAATCCGGTACATGTCAAGTTTTTTTTATTGAACTTCATTCCGACTCACCAAGGAGGATTGGCCCCCAGAGTGCAACATCGATATTCTGTCCCATATATGGGCATGTTGTGATACAAAATTTGAAAACAGCCACCATTTTATTCACTTCAACATTTGAATCGTGAATTTTGGTCTTATTTCCCAGCGACAAATTCCAAAACGCACAAGAAATGATCGAGATATTGGTTCGAATCTTTTTTATCTTCAAATTTTATATTGATCCTAAAAGTTAATTCGCATTAAAATAATTTATAAATATAACTGGAAACTGAAGATAAATATTAAATTTTTAGTAATACAAACATTCATAGTGTGTCACTGATGTTAGGACAGGTGCTACAATAACTACAAATTAGTGATAAAATCGAATCAATACACATATGTACTTCATCAAAAATAGCTTTCATAGAAAATGAACTATCTGTGCTAAGTTGCTATTGGCAAATATCTCAGCTACAGTAAAACCTGTAAATCCAAGCACCTTAGAACATCTCTCAATGTAAATGACATTTTGTCTATCCCAATTTTGTACTCTCCAATTGAGTCGCATGTTAGGAGATGCTGGAATGTGAATACCTTATCTGAACACTTTTGGTTAGCCTCAGTGGTATTCATACTAGACGGGTTTTACTGTATATTGCACTGGCGGATCCAGGGGGCTCTGGGTCCCCCCTTGGGGGGCCCAGAAAAAAAATTTTGGGCCCAAAGATTTTGTAGGGCCTCAACTAGTGGGCCTTTTTGGGCATTACTTGGGTTTTTTGGGCCTTTTTAGGCCAAATTGTCAAAAATGGGTCTCAAATCTGGATTTTTTAAAATTTGCCCCCCCCCCGCCCTCTTATTAGCTTCTGGATCCACCAATGTATTGTATATGTCAGTTTACATCTGAGGCTACTTGTAAACAATGATACTTTTACTTACTTCAGAGGCTGCTTGTAGAATATCTCTAGACTTCCTCACTAGGGTCCGGGCTGGTACACCACCACTCAAAGTAACGATCTCAACGAGGACATTTTTGTTGTATAATATCTTGAACTCTTCGGTCATCTAAAATGTACCACAATATATTACAATATATAAGGAATGAGGTAATCAATAAAGACTAAAACTGATCCATCCTGTGAATATCATGTCAAAATCCTGGCCAATGGTTATTTACTAGTAAATTGACTTCAATAGTTGAATAGATATCGTATCACAGCCTACTCAGTGTCTGATTTAGTTAAGAGTGGGGCATAGTGAACAAAGTATTTTTGTTGGAGACACACATAAAAATATTTAAGCTTATAATTTTAGATTTTAAACTCGATGAAGTTTGAAACAGACAAGGGGTATTAGCCTGGAAATGTTTCTTAGAGTTTATTTATGCTTATATTGATGTAAGAATAACATTAAACACTTCTGACCAACTCCATATAATTAAAATTTCCTACATCAATTGCTCTCTTACTTTGACTCATATCCATGGTAACAACCGATTCAGGCTACAAGGCAAATTGTTACCTTTTCTAGAAATCCTTGGATGAGTTTCAATGCATCCTTCACTTGTGTGGACTCAGCCCCATATTCCTGGACAAGAGCCTGAAATCCTTCAATGTTAAAGTTGAACACATCAGGAGTATTGTCCTTCACACTTGATTCACCCTTTACCTAAAACACAGAAAACATACATTTATTTTTCAATGGAATTTTCCACTGTGACATATATTTTCAATGGAAATTTCCACTGATCATTTTATTGACCATGGAGTTTTCCACTGATAGATATTCACTTTACAACATTTAGCTTATGTCCAACAGAATTGTTCAGCATTTTCCACTTGAAGGTATTGAATGGAAATTTCTAAAAATATCACCCACCTTTTCTTCTATTTTACCGTCAATACCACCCACCTTTTCTACCATTTTCCCACCAATATCACCCAGCTTTTCTACTATTTTACCACCAATATCACCCACCTTTTCTACCATTTTCCCACCAATATCACACACTTTTTTTATGATTTTTCCACCAATATCACCCACCTTTTCTACTATTTGTCTGATAACCTCTAGCTCTCCTAAAAGCAACATGTCCGCTCTGTTGGAAGTATTCAAAGTTCCAATATTCTCCTTCAATGCCACTGAACTAGGGTCAATAAGAGCATCTTCCAAAGATGAAAATGTTGCGGGAATGTCCTTGAAGAGCATTGGATGCTGGGATTGGATGTCGAGCATCTATAAAAAATGTACACATACATATAATAGTTTTATACAAAAAAAATTATTCCATTTCTAAAGTATTAAATTTTTTTTAGATTTAAAATTTTAACACAAGTTTAAGCTACAGAACATCATGATCGACTCGACTCTGCCTTGTTTACTGTTTAGTATCTTAGCGGGACCCTCAAGTTTACAATAAAAAAGAGGTCTCTCAAAGTCAACTTACTGTATTATCTGTCCTCGAGTCAACAATAAGAGGGGGACTCAAAGTCAACTTACTGTATTTTCTACCCTTAGGTCTACAATAAGAGGGGACCTCTCAAAGAATACTTACTGTATTATCTGCCCTCAAGTCGACAATAAGAGGGGACCTCTCAAAGAATACTTACTGTATTATCTGCCCTCAAGTCTACAATAAGAGGGGACCTCTCAAAGAATACTTACTGTATTATCTGCCATCAAGTCTACAATAAGAGGGGACCTCTCAAAGAATACTTACTGTATTATCTGCCCTCAAGTCGACAATAAGAGGGGACCTCTCAAAGAATACTTACAGTATTATCTGCCCTCAAGTCTACAATAAGAGGGGACCTCTCAAAAAATGTGTTCTGTATATTGTCCACCAAACTTTCAGAACTCACAGCCATGTCATCCTGAAAAATAAATTTTAATATAGCATTTCATTTCAAATCTCTGCTCAATATTATCAATGAACTTTAAAAGTTCAATATTTGTACTAAAATAGAGCTTATTTATGTTTAACATATTGCTCACGTTTATATTAAAAATAATGTGTACAAAACTAGGAGTTATATTATCCAGCTGTTTTAGCTTGTAAGAGTTTCATCATAGAGCATATATCATACAAGTGATATATTTAATTAATAAATAGAAATTCATTGATTTTTTTAAACTTGAAGTTTGATGCTATAATGTACACAGTATATTGGTACCCAGGCTTTACATCTAAAAATATGGGCAGAATATACTGTAAACCATGGTTAACATAGGTTTAGTTCAGCATGCAATTTATTCACATCCTTTTTTAATTAACTTCATGTTGAATCAAAATTTACTTTTTCAAAATTTTATCTTTTCCAACACCTGATTTGTGTTATATACCAGATCTTTCAATAAGTTCACGGAAAAATGCTCTCATTTCAAAGGTTTTTAATATTTTTTCATGAAATTTTAACATAACATCCAAACTTATTGAACGACCTGGTATCATTAACATCTAAACATAACATAGCAAAATTCAAATGTTTTACAGTATTTAAAATTCATCTTATTTTGTATGAATCTCATTGTGTTTTCAACAGGATTTTTTATCACGTGGGTGCACAATTCTCATTTTCACAATTCAGACCGAAATTGGTCAAAATATGGCCATTTTTTATGATTTTTCTCATTTTCATGTGGGCGTTCAACTGCAAATCGATTTTCAGATGGATGCGAGCCTGTTTTTTTAAATCTCAGGTGGGACAGGTGTTACACCAACATGTTTTAATGCTGGGGTGTTACACCCACTTGTTTTAATGCTGGTGTGTTACGCCCACTTGTTTTAATGCTGGGGTGTTACGCCCACTTGTTTTAATGCTGGGGTATTACGCCCACTTGTTTTAATACTGGGGTGTTACGCCCACTTGTTTTAATGCTGGAGAGATCACTGTCATACTCACTTTCTTAACTGGGAATTTAACATGGTGTTTGATATTCAGCTGTGTGTTATCATTGAAGCCGGGGATTGTAAACATCACATTGGCCTTAGGACGATGGAATGGGTTGCCTTCTTTCAATCCTGTCCATTCTATGCTCTGGAAAATCAGATTCATGAATATAAATACTATAATTTATACAGGAAATCAAATGTTGAACATCAAATCAACCTTAGGATGGATCATCCAATCCAATTATTTCAAGGTGACATTTAATATTTATAAAAAAAATAATGTTCATAAATTAAATATTACATTAAGGTTATAAATTATTGACTTGTTCTATCAGACACATTGTATTCATTAATCCTGTATGCCCATTATAACAAAAATAATATATAACCTTGAAATAAAAAATCAATAGTGCACTGCCTTGAAGTACAATAACATGTAGCTGGTGAAACAAAATGATCTCCCGATCCTTTTTTAGAAAGCTTACTCAAACTCTCATTTTTAAAACAATTGGCCTTATTTGAAAAAAAAATGAGCCTCAATTTTGAAAAATAGGCCCACATTTTACAATCAAGTCCCAAACTTCGTCCAAACTCTTGTATTAAAAAATATTTTTAGAACACCCTGTCAGTTTTTCAAATCTGCCCAAGAAGATGGTAACCCCTGCCTAAAAAACTATAATACACTCTTCCTTTTCTAAAGGTGTCCACCAAAAGAGATTTTACTGCATAAAGCATTAGTGTCGAAGGCCATCAACATGGGCTTAACCAAACATGAGGCAGCAAGGCAATTGCCTCATCAACATTTTGCACAATTTTTCAGACATATTTCACTAAAATTGCTGTGAATTTGAATTCGAAAGGTAGTAGACAAGACATGTACATTCTTTAGGTTAAATTTGTCTTGCCTATTTCAATGTCACCGGTCCCTAGTCCCCACCTCACCCCATGTATAGTCTGTCGAGTGACTTTATCATAGGGTAACACAGGGTGCACCTGGTCCTCAGACTCCTCACCAACAAAAATTCATCCATTTTGTTACAAACACAGTGAATTTGCCTCACCTAGATCCTGGCTTCACCTCTGATCTGAACATACCTGTGTTGGTAGACCCAGTGCAGTAGAGACAATTTCAGGCAATTCTGATGCACCAATGGCTCCTGCATTCTTCATGAATGACACATAGCTAGGTGTATGGGCCACAAACACCTCCTGTGATCCAAATACAACTGAAAATGAAGATACATTTATATAGTATGCTTCCCCGTAGCCAGCTTTTACCAGGAGGGGGAGCTTTTTTCAGGGTGGGGAGCTTTTTCACAATTTTGGCTAAAAATCATGCAAAAAATTCTCAGAATGGTGAAAACTGCATGATTTTGAAAGAATTTCTGGACGGGGGGGGGGGGGGGGGGTCCAAGCACCTCCTGTGATCCGAAAACAACACAAAATAAATGTGTCAGACACATTTATAATGCTTCTTGGAAAATAGGTTTGAAGCAATATCTGAAAGGCAAAATTTTATGTTTGAAAAAGTGCAAAATAAGTGTGCAAGCACAATTAAAAATTTTCTCTGAAGTTTTTCGATAAAAATTTGCAGTTGATACACCATAGGCATTATAATTGATCAAAATTTCATTTACATATTACAATACAATAGCAAATAGTTTAAAGCATCACATGTCTTTCAAATCAGATTGACATTATATACTTTGGCTTTCTTAATGACATTATTGGAAATTCAAAAGTATGAGTGTAGTGCATGTAATAGACCGAACATATACTAGGGTTGTGCCCAAGTACATTATCAGGATTGGTTTTACTAGCAACTAGGTTTTTTCCAAAATCTGATAAAATACCTGTTATAGTGTTAGAATTTCTCATAAAATTTATTCAGACAATAAATTAAGACTTGTCTCATATTGAAAGAAGTCTTTTTCATTAAGTTTTAATAATTGTTATGTGGGAAAATGCTAAGACTATGCCTCCAATTACACTCTATTTAAAAAGGTTTTCGGGTACACCCCCCCCCCCCACATACTGATACTCGACATTCATTCTAACGCATATTTTTCGGATATATTAGCACCCCCTCTTGCCCAAAATCCTGGATCCGTGTGGTGGTTAATACATGCATGAATGCTTTTAAATCCAATACAGAATGACACATTGTTCTTTATTACAACTCAAACAATCTATCACAATACTTTACAAAATGGCCATTTCCTGTATATTTTACCCAGAATGCACAAAAACCAATCTGCTGTAAACTTTCCAAGAAATATCTCTGAAAATTTCAGATAAATCTATCGAACTTTTGACTGAAATTGTGTAGACAAGACAAAAATGTCCAAAATTGCCACCTAGAAATTTTCCCAAAAGATTCTTTTATGCAGTTGATTCCCCAATGTTGTATGGGTTAATTAGTCTAGATGGAGGGATTTTGCGATTAAAAACGAAAATTTCCTTGTTCTACCAATTAACTAATATGGTTGGAGATTCAACTCCATAAAAATAATTCCAGTACTTAGTTATTTATTTCTATGTTGTTGAATCCCCAATCGTATGGGTTAATCGCCAGAATGAGTAAATTTCATTTCCCCCGTCTATTGGTATATTTGGGCTCTGCAAATTAAGGGGCTTCCCCTTTCGCCATCTTGAAAAGAAGTGACAAATGTTGAGATGCAGCACGAAAATCTTCTCGTTCTGCTGATAAACCAATACTATTTTGGATTCAGCTGCATAAAAAGAATCCTGAAATGCTCAGGAATATATCAAGGTAGGTATTTTAAGTGAAGGAGGCGTGAATTTTTCTCCCAGGGCAGTATTCATGCAGGCAACAGATTGGACCTGTCGCAGGACTATAGTCATGGAATTGGATAACTCCAAAACTAATCAGTTTTTAAGAAGTTTGTACCAAAAAATGGTTTGGCTTGGAACTAGGCCTGCATCAAATGTTGGTACTGTTGCCAGTGAGGTTTGATAAAGTTTGAGAACCTCAACTGATTCTAGTCATCACCTGAAGGCTGAAGCGTTCTCCCAAAGTTGCGACTGTCTCAGATTGTAGAAGCATACACTTAACTTTTCAAATTGGCCAGTATTTCAAAATGTCTACCATCAGCGCCAGCCATGAATATCTCTTCCAGGCCCCAGGGTGCACCTTTCTTCATTTCTTAATATAATACGTAGTCCAGGAAGTGATGTCACTAAATCTCTTATTGGTCTTATTGTGGACATTTTGAAATACTGGCTGATTTAAAGATTGAAGTGTACTTTACTGCAATTTGAGACTGCCACAACTTTCTTGTGATAAGAATCGATAAAAGTAAGCATAGCTATTATTAGCTCGAACCATTAATTTTTGTGTTTTGAAATATAACATAGTCGCCTATTGTATGTGCACAAAATATGAATGAAGAGATGGTCTTGGTACTTAATAAATACTGAATACACTGGGATACATCAGGGGCTGTGAATTGGTACAATCCGAAATCCGATCCGGATAATTTTTATCTTTTTGGATAAATCTTGAATTACTTATCACAAAAATATTTGGAATTTGGTGAATCCTAGATTAGATTAGACGGATTAAGATTAGAGAGGGAATCCCCAAAATTGGAATTCGGATAAAATTTATCCCAAAAGTAATACACCTATATAGGTGGATTGCAATTTATCCTAAGATTAATCCCAAGATCGCACTAATTCGCGGATTTTTGGGTTAATTCTAGGATCTATCGCACAATGCATACTTAGCATAAAAATTTATTTGGAATCCAAATCGTATCAACTAACTGCCCCAGATCATGAGGTTTGGCTACTGCTACAAGCGAGATCATCAGGTCATTGACTGATTGAATCCTCGGCTTCAATAATGGAGTTTCATAAAAAATTCATACTCAATGCAAGGAAACAATAAAATAGGTAAAATATCATCAGTGATAATTATCTTATTTACATAGTTTCCTGACTTTAAGTATTTCGAATATCGAGTCAATTTACACGAACCGATCTCAGAATTCGATCATGTGATTCTGAATCGAAAGAAAAAATGGGAGGAAATTTCAATTTTCAATTGACCTTGGAGTTTTTTGTTGATAACTCGAAGATTACACTGTAAATGAAACTATTTTTAAACTGAATACACCCGTTAAATGTTTATACACCATATTATCACACAAAATATCATATAGTCTTACCGTTAAAGAGAAATACACACAAAATCACAAAGAATCGATTCGATAGAATTCTGTCCGCCATCTTGTCTGTTTTGATCGATGATCATGCGCAGTAGGGAGAAAATAAAAAATTGGAGCTTGGACTGAAATTTTTAACAATTGATATTAAATTTATGATGTACATGAGCCAAATAGAACCTAAAATCGCATCTGCATTATCAAAATATATATTCGTTATTACAGTTTTGCTATTATTTAGAGGGTCTAATTTTGATTGTGGTCAATAAATGCTAAACGCTGGCACCTGTCTCTGAACGGTTTTTCATATTCTCCCTAACTTCTGTTTATTGTAGTCAATTCTTTACGTGTTCAGTGCAAAATCTACGACATATTTCTCGATCTGCAATGTCGGTTTGAAAACATATGGACTTTGAGCACATTAATACTGGATTTCTGGCTATGGAATAGTACTCAAATGGCAGACAACTCCGAGAGGAATATTTGGGACGCGCTAGGAGGCTCCGATGGTGCGTCAAATGGGCATAGATCGATGGGAAATAGGTATGTGTGAAGGGATTTATTTTGAATCGTAAAGATGAACAAGGAAATGTCCGGATCGCATTCGCAATCGTTATCTGAAATTCCGTGTTATTTTTGGTTGGGTCATTGCGAATGGTAATCCATGTTGCAATCGTTAACTCAAAGGGGCATTATATCACACGATTTTGTTATATTTCCGGCAGATCTTTTCAAGGGAGGGAACTAAATCATGATTCCCTCACCATCAGGAATTTTTAATGACGCACGTTTTCACCTCTGTCCGGGCGTTCATTACTTGGCCTTACAGTTTATCCAGACCGGGATGATAACGACCGGATTTGAAGATGGGATTCATAGGAGAACGATATTATTGTGAACAGGGGAGAATGCGGTAAAATGGACCTCATTGGGCTAGCTAATCATTGATTAACCTGATTAGGCCTGGTGATTGCCAAGGGTCTATTTGATAAAATGTTTGCCCGGAATTAATGGCAACATGGCCTGAGAAATTACATGAATTTAATTCGGTTTGGCTTTGTGGCACATTGATCAATCTGATGTCTTGCCTATGATGCTTTCAGTCGTCATCTTAGGCCTAGGCTATGTCCACCGCAGCCACCGGGGAAATTGTTAGGCCTATAGTGTAAGTTACTGATATTACCTCCTCAATGAGCAAACAATGCGAAACTGTCAATAAATAGGTCACTGTTAATGGCCCTATCCCAGTTGGTGACTGAACTGATCACAAGTATCTATAAATCTAGGCGAGCATTGGATAAGACGGACATCTGCACTGGCGGATCCAGAAGCTACCAAGGTGGGGGGGATTTCAAGTCAAGAAAAAAACTTTCCGCGCTTGCCCCTCAAACCCAAAATTGGGCCCAAAGTTTGAAAATTTAAGGCCCTTTTTGTGTCTGATAATTTGGCATTAAAAGGCCCAAAAAGGCCAAGTTATGACCCAAAAGGCCCATTTTTAAGGCCTTGCAAATTTTTTGGGGCCCTAAAAAATTTCAGTGTCTCTCTTTATCTAAAGCTTGTGTTCTCTCTTCCAAGGGACAGTAGGTGGATCCCACAATGGCATTGGACTATTTTTGAAAAGTAAGCTGAAAATGAGTTTTTGAAAAATGAGCTGAGATTCTTGAAAAGGATTCCTAGAATTTTAAAATGGATGGAATTTTCAATGTCTTCTCTGGATAATTTCCAGGTCCGCCTCCTGGAATATCAGCCCAAGTTCCATAATTTCAACTTATGCGGAAATCGATTAAAATCGTCCCTTTTTGCTTCTTCAGTGTCCGTCTTGCCACAGCCTCTCCAATCAAACCCGAAAAACAATACTAACATACGATGTTAGAAAAATAATGGCCTGGACGTTCTGGAACAGATACAAGTCTCAGTTGATAAAAGCAAACACGTTAAGTCCATTCACACCAAAACATGGAATAGTTTACGTAATACATGCTTCTTTGACAACATCAGTAAGTTTATTAATAGTAAGAAAGGTCTCGCTATTTCATCTGATGCTACTTTACCACATGATTCAACAATGAATAAAATGACACAATCACCTGATGCAAATACCTCACATATACGCACCGTAACACCGTAACACCCTGACAACGGTAACGTCAGATTCCGTTGTCCCAAATGGCGGATGGAAGTTCGTTTTCGTATTCGATTCGATTTTTTCACTCACTCAGACTGTATATTTAATACAACACGTAGATTAAGTTATTTTGGTACACCAATCAATAAAAGTGTCTTGCTAATTATAGTGGGGTAGTTATGTTCAAACATCAAGAGAAAGTCCTCATTTTACCGATTAGAAATATGGAACTTGACATCGGAAAATGTATACCATTGCCCTTGTGTTCATCTGTTATATTTAGTCTCCGTTGTCGTTGATGCGTTCGTGATGATTTGTGGCAATGGTATCTGACGCCGTTGTCAGAGTGTTCCGGTGTAACATATGTAAAACTTTGGGCATGATGCTGAACCCGCATGAGATATTTGCAAATACACATATGTTCAAACTTAACTCCTTCATTTATATACAGTAAAACCCCTCTTAGTAAACACATCTTTCTCGTGAACACAGTTTTCCCAGTGAACAACTGTCTCCCTCTGACATTATTCTGTATAAATAACCCTCTCTGCATAACATGCACCTGTACCAACAATGAATGTCGGTAAAAAAAGTTCAATATACACATGTTTTACTGTATGTTGTCATTTCAAGGAATAAAAGAGCTTTAATTCCCATCCAAAGTAACCGTTAATATCAATACATAAAAATATGTCAGGTCCGTACTCACTAGCCAGCTTTTACCAAGGGGACGGGGGGGGGGTAGTTTTTAAAACTTACTTTCAGAAAATATTATATATACTATCAAGGGGGGGGGGGGAATCACATTCTGAAAAAATGTGGCCCCTTAGACCAAAGATCTAGGCCCATTTTCTTGATGATTTGGCCTGAAATTAAAAATAAGGCCTATAGAGGCTCAGAACGACAATTTGATAATTCTATTCTCGAAAATAATTGGAAAAAACGCTTTTACCAATGCAAAATCCTCTGTATAAGCCGGTTGACATCATTTTGCTTCTTAAAAACAAAAGTAACACATTTATGTACATGTTGTAGAGTATTATGCAGGGTGAAGTGGAAACTCAAATGTTTTGTTTATTACAAACGTTTATGAACGTCCTGGCCAATTACTTCCCTATCACCTTTGCTTTATAAGGTGACATTGTTATGTTCAACCAGAACCACTTATGTTTTAAAAAAATTTTAAATCTCGGGGGCCATTTCTTTTGTATACCGCCACTTGTAAAACTGAACCCTAAAAATGATAGAAATTTGTAAAAAAATCCACGGTTTAATTAGCCATTTTGCCCCGATCTCCCCTTCTTAATTGAACCTTATAAACTGCAAAATTAATTAAGACAGGTTATTCTAGTTCAGATCTTCAGCCATGCTGAAATATTATTTAGCACGTTCAAGGTCACTGGTGGGCACATTGAATTTTCATTGTGACTTAGTTATCGGACCGCTATCAGACTCCTTAAATTGTAGATTAGAATTTTAAAGAGAGTGCTTATGCCCTAGATCTATATAACTTCTTGACATTTGAAAGAGGTTTGGACACATTAACGCTACCTTTATCGGGTCATCGGTTAGTATCGCTGTGAGATTGTTAACCCTAGATTTCCTAAGAGGGGGTGGGGGTACAAAGTAGCCCCCCTCGTGTAAATTTTTATATATGGGTAAGCTGGGGGCCTAGTTATTACCTTTTTATGAATTAGCAAAGTCAAGTATCCTGTATATATTTTTCTATGTTGCGCGAATACACGAAGTACAGTTTACAGTGCTGTAATTAATTAATTAATTAGTTAACTATTATTGATTATAATCAATTAATTAGTTAATTACATTCATTATGTAATATAGCATTTTGATTTTTTTTCACATCAATATGTTAGATTTGATGTTCTTAATTGTTTAAAATACACAGAGACACGGTAAATCATCATTCTGATACTCATAGCATTTTTCTGTTTCACTTGGGCTGAGAAGATTTGAGATGTCATGATTTATCATGATGGTAAATCATAAGAAACGCGATTTCTCCATATTTTGTTATACCCAACAAAGGAGATAAACTTTCAAATAACATAAAGTCCAATAGAACGAGTCGTCATTAGGTAATAGTAATTATTTGGTAAAATAAGGATATTGAGACGTATGGTCACTTTCCACCAGCCCCCCCCCCCCCCGGAACTCCCGTAAGTGCAATTAGCATAGGAAAGGAACTCTAGGGTTAAAGACTGCTTTCGATTTGGTGCAGTTATGATTTGCCAGAATAGTGAGGAACGATTTTCAGCAAGATGGGTTTAACGATTCAATTTCGTATAATAAAGCAATTTAGAGCATTTTTAAATAGGGAAAGTGTGAGGGTGAGGAATGTCAGAATGATACACAGCTCTTTTTCTACCCTGCGAGCAGAGTCTAGTTAAACTACGACGAAGACGAAGCTCTCTTTTAAGAAGTGAAGTCAAACGAATGCAAAGGGTACTCTTTTTCAAAATTACTAGTACAATTATTTTTTACATTTTTTTCTCGAAAATGACGATCTCGGATGTAGCCTATATAGTTATGATAATATCAAGGAATGTCATATAGGAAATTTCTAAGCTATAACCAGTATCTAAATCCGGGTGAAGCAAGGCGTAAAGGTGAGGCAAATTTGGATTAAAGGACATATTAAGACGAGGCAAAAATTAATAGTTGCGACGGACTAACATGACTAAAGGAGTATATTAGTTACTACCGTTGTGTCAAGATTTCCACAGTTTTAGCTGAAAAAGTATAAATATTTTTCTGGAAAATTTTGTTGAGGCATTTGCCTCGCCTGCCTCATGTCTGACGAGTTAAGATTGGTTTATTTTTAAATTTTTAACCATGACACTGGCGATCCACTCGATTACGCTGGAACCGTTTCGGTAACAAAATGTCGGAACGTCGAAGGCACGATTTTTCTTTTTTCCTTATTTCACACGTTGTAGGCAGAATTCCCACGACATTTTTATCACAAACGTGTATCAATATCATATGATGTACACAAATAGTTCAGAAGACAACGGAATCGTCGATTTAATCCCTCACTTAAGTTACCGAAACGGTATTTCGAAAAACAGTTAAGATCTGCACTTTTAACTCTTACCGTTTATGTAACTTAATATAAGTGAGGAATTCTGTTGTCTTCTGAGCTATTTTTTCGCAAACATGTACCTTTTATAAAACATATGATACTGATACACGTTTGTGAGAAAAAATGTCGTGGGCATTCTGCCTACAACGAGCGAAATAATCGTACCTTCGACGTTCCGACATTTTGTTACCGAAACGGTTCGTTTCGGTAACCAGCGTAATCGAGCGGACTGGTTGTAATCATTAAATAAACACCAAATTTAAGTCAAAAGCGAACACTAGCATATTACTTCAAGATTTCAATGTGAAAAAGACT